ATGGCAGTAGCCGCATACCTGATGGACTGTCCAATCAATAAATTCCACACCACGCGCAACATCCTCAGCATTAAGTGGCATTTTTAAGTTTGAAAATTGAAATTAAGACAACAAAGATGAAAACTAAACAGTTTATTGCTTCAGAATTCAAATGAGACTGAATAAACATTTTGAATTCCGTAAAAATTAAGCATTGAAAAATCCTTTACTCTTGTTTTGGATTAAGGATTAAGTGTATTTACCTCTAATTGATATTCCCAATTTAAAACATAGCATAAAAAAATATTTATTGTTAAAAACAATGAGACAAATTAAGGGCAGAATTTTCTTCTATCAGGAAAATGAAAAAGAAAATCAGTTGGGTGGAATTTTTTGCCTGTCAGTGTATTTACAATTTTGAAAAAAAAATTAAAAAATGTATGACTTCAATTTTTTAAACCAGTGTTTTATATAATTTTAACAATATCTAAAAATCTGAAATAAACCTTAAACGACGTTAGTTTCGGTATCCTAAACAAAATATGAGGGATTTAGAATTGTACTAGTCATGAGATAAAATTTCAATATGTAATTTCATTGTATTTTTTTTTTAACCCATGAGATTAAAAATTGTAAGTAGATATTTCTTATTTGATAACCAATCCTTCTAAATTGGCAAGTGTAATTTCATAATTTTAATGGAACTTGGAGTTTTCTTAGTCAAACATTTATCATTTATTTTATACTAATGATGACTTTTAACTGTAAGTGTGCTGTATAAAAAGACCTGACTGTACAGAAAGATATGTTTTGTGGTTAGAATTTTTGAAATATCTGTTAATCAATGATACCTTTTAGTAAAACGTTTACCCGAGTGAATTCCCATGTTTTGAAACGAGTTTGAATTTCTTCTCCCTGAAACGTAAACTGTTACGATATACAGTTCTAAATGGGGCCGGAATCGTTTCACTTAAATGATAAAAATACAGATGAGAATTTAGGGGGTGAAGGGATTAGTGAGGCGAGTGTTTCATGGTCAAACGAGGGTTCAATATCCGCATTAAAACTAACACATTGCCACCAGAAGTGATTGGTTTATTTCTCACCATCCCGGTCATCCGTCATCCTTTTTTTATCAGTGCGAATCTAGATGCAAAAGTCGATAAATTGATCTAAACTTTGATAATTTGAATCAAATAGCCTCGAATCTGTGATAGGATAAACGCTGTTTTAAACTTTGGATATTTGTATTATATTCACTAATTTCGTGGTCCGCTTGACCAATTAATATATGACAATTAATTAAGGTTTTTATGTGAGATAAAAAAGTCAATGGCACGAGCGGGATTCGAACCCACGATCTACGGCTTGATACGCTGTTGCTCTACCGCTTGAGCTATCGTGACCTCGATCCACTCGGACACTAACTTCCCACCTCAACCCCACCTTTTGAATTTTCCCTCCTTTTTGCCATTTTTCAAATGTCGTGTAATCGGATTGGATTCGACAAATGAAATGGCCACGGAGAGCTTTAGTGAAGTAAACTTCATTTAAATTCATTAAATTCACTAATTTCGTGGTCCGCTTGACCAATTAATTGTAATATATTAATTGACATGACATTTAAAAAATGGCAAAAAGGAGGGAAAATTCAAAAGGTGGGGTTGAAATGGGAAGTTAGTGTCCGAGTGGATCGAGGTCACGATAGCTCAAGTGGTAGAGCAGCGGCGTATCTAGCCGAAGATCGTGGGTTCGAATCCCGCTCGTGCCATTGACTTTTTTATCTCAAATAAAAACCTTAATTAATTGTAATATTTGTATTGTTATGTTTAAAAAAATTTTACAGAGTTGGTCAAAAAATGAAAAATAAATAAAAAGGTTTTTTCTTTACCATAGTAACCCTATGGACAGGGAGTTTATTTTCAACGTACGCCTATATCGATTACAGGTTTATTTTTTCAATTTTGATCATTTTTACACTTATTTCACGTTGAACTCAATCGAGTCAATAAACACGAAATCTTCTGCAAATGAGACAACAGTTCTCTATATGTTGGTTGCCATCTTCTTTCTTTTCCAAATTTGGTTCTTATTAACCTCTGTCTTTGAGTGACATGAAGAACATTCGAAAAGTGTTCCTATTTCTGCGTAACGTGATCTAAAATATGGTTATTTTCAATAACAAAACGATGTAGGTAATCCATAGTTTCTTAGCGTGTGTCTGCTAGGATAGGCCATTTAAATAAACAATGAAACTGAGGGAGGAGCCATTGATGCCACTACCCCAAAGTACAACTTTACTAAAAAGTACACAGTACTGATACCAGAGCGGGAAGAATGGGCCAAAGGAGCACCCCTAAAGGCAAACTCCTACTGGTATACTGTCGGCTCCAAAACCGATGAACCCCAAGACCGAACTGACGGTAAACCTAGGTAAACATGCTACGGTTTTCCAGTCTGAAATCATAGAGATTGAACAATGCGCCAGAGAAATAAAAAGGCTAGGAATACATTCCCGGAAGATAGCCATTTTCTCTGAGAGCCAGGCAGCACTTAGAGCTCTAGCCTCATGCGAAGGCAGAGTGTTTGGAACTGCATGGAGGCCCTGACGGAAGTCAGTGACACTATTGACCTAACTGTCCCATCGGTCCCTGGACATTCGGGGCATAGAAGCAACAAACAGGCTGACATGTTGGCCAAAAGGGGTCCAACATGAACTCTCTGGGACCAGAACCCTATTGCGGCATAGCAGTCTGCCACAAAAGAGATCTCAGAATGGATCCTTAAGAGTCCAAAACCTGGTGGAATAATACAGGTATGAGGCACGCGAAGAGATACATAGAAAAACCATCTGCAAAACGTACAAAAGAATTACTGGAAGGCAACCACAACTGAACCAGGATTCTGGTTGGACTCCTGACATTTAAGAAAGCACATTCACCGGATAGGAATACAGACAGAAGAAACTCTGTGCAGATACTGCCAGGACAGGAAGAGGAGGAGACCGCACAACACATTTTATGTTTCTGTGAAGGTTTATGTAGTTGCAGGTTCTTGCAACTAGGACAAGAAAAACCACAAGCAAGATCCTACACCAAGGAGCCGCTGGCAAAGTTATGAGGCTGGTTAATAACCTGAAGCTGGCCAGTGAGTTTTAATTAACAGGGGAGCACAATAGCTCTATTCAGGTCGAGGTGCAGTAGTCTTGTGGCCACCTCTTTTATCCCTATCCTTAGCCCCTGTATGCTGTAATAGGTATGCGTGAGCTGTATTTTTCCTCGCTTTTTGACGTTTCTCCCACATTTGACCTGTTTTGCCCATCTATTTTAAGGATTGCATATAGAAAATATGAATGATAGTAAAATTCCACTTTTGTCTCTCTGGAATTCTATACCGCTTTTCCGCCAAGTCCCACGATAGCAGATTCAAACGTTGAACCTTAAGCTTAAATAAACTTAGACCGCTTAAAATTAGCTTTGTATTTTTTCCCACCGCATTACTCTAAGAGGCGTTTCACACCTTTAAACATTGGGCTAGGTTTAAAAAAAGAGTTTGCTTATTCTGAATCTCGTGTTTAGATTCAGAGTCAAACAAAATGAAATTAAACAGAAATTCTCTTATCTCTTCTCAGAGAAGACTAAAATTAGTGGTACTATATATTTTATTTGGCTTAGACGTTTTATTGTCCAAAGGGTTGATAGAACGAAACCGAAAATAGTTCATTGTCAGTTTGATCGTTTTTGATCATTTTTGCATTTTGGCATCTCACTCCATTCGCAGGGATTAGAGTTGACGCTTCAAATTTTACAATGGGTGCTAAAAAAAATAAAAAAAATATTTTTTTTAAAACCTGTTCTAATCGATAATCAATCGGCTTGCGGCCTGCCTTGAAGTGAAGAATGGATTTGGAGTTTAATCGGCCCTCTTAATCAACAGGCCCATGTGTTGATTGCGCTGTTTCAAACGCTTTTAGAATACTCGAAAAGATTAATGTGGTTACAGTCGTCTTCTCTCCACAAAACAAAAGTGTTCAACTCGTAATTAAAAGCCCCTTGTTTTTAACGATTTGGTCGCGTGAGATCGTTGGGAATAAAACGAAAAAAGTCCCTCTTCCATCAAGCCCAGTTAAGGACTCTCTTGTCATATAATTTACGTTGTTATAACGAGGCGGCAGCCGATTGATTTATTTAAATCGGTCATTAATGTCAATACATTTAAAAATAGAAAAGAAAATTTATAGAAATGTGTGGTGATTATTGACCGTTAGTCGAAGATTATTCAGAAATCGTGAGATGCGGTTTGGTGTGATCAGAAAAACATTTTCTTTATCGTGCCAACGTTTCGATCTTTATTGAGAGCATCTTCAGGGCCTGGGATTTACAAACATTGTTTAAATTTAACAAAAACATGTAGGATGTGGAAAAAGTGAACTTATACAATGCAAAAAAATATTTTTTTTATTCAATCAAAGTATTTCTACTTACGCAAAGTGTTTTACTCTGAAAACAAACACTTTGAGTGAGTAGAAATACTTTGATTGAATATAAAAAAATATTTTTTTGCATTGTATAAATTCACTTTTTTCCATATCCTACTTGTTTTTGTTAAAGTTTTTCTGAAACTTACATCACACCAGACCGCATCTCACGATTTCTGTATAAAATTTATAGAGTTATTAATATCACATTTTTTTCGATTATCTAATCTTGCTAAGAAACACAAAAGGTAAGTTCATGCACTTCCTGGCTAAAATCGATACTTCTTTTAAAAGATTTTTTTAATTTAACATTTGGCGTTTTTAATGTAGCTGACTAGGAGAATCCGACAATAATTGCCTTTAGGAATGATCGGATCGAATACTCGGGTGAAATTCCTATATACGCATGCTTTCTAAATCATTAGAAGACACTATAAAAACATTTAATTACACTCTATTACCATTTTTAAAATTCCTTCTTCACCCCTCAAAAAAAAATTTTTTAAATATTCGACGAATGTTTTAATTTTTGTTTCAGCCCTTATTCCCCATCGCCTTGCAACGGAGGCACCAAAAGGTACTTCTCGTGTAACACGGAGGTAAGCCAAAGCTGTAACTTTCAGTATTTATAGTTTTCCTATTGATTTGTATTGTAATAACTATCGTTCCAGGAATGTCCGGGCGGCGAAAACTTCAGAGCCGAACAATGCGCGGAATACAATCACATGTCATTTCAAGGGGTTTACTACCAGTAAGTTGATCAAAAAATTTAGATTAATATTCTTCATATTACAGCATGTTGAAACATGGTTAAAACGGAAATGCTCTGCTGACTGCTGAAGAAATTAAATTAGATCCTGATAGTTAGATATCCGAACATTGGTTTTTCGCAGATTCGCCATCCCTTTGGATTTTGAAAAAACTTTGTTAGTAGAAACTTTTAATCCAAGGTTCTGATAAAAGTCATGAAAGGACTCGACACTTTAGTCTTATCGAAACCAACAAAAAATGTGACTACCTTTCTGCACATCATTACATCGCATTTCTCCTAATGTTCATATCCCTCACGTCGCACCGACATTAGTCTTTACCTGTCAACAGCACAATAATTTTGCATAAAACTGAAAATATTTTGGCATCGATATCAATTCTAAAAGCTGGCATAAATAAACAATTCAAATATAATGCTTATAAATTTTAAAAAAATGTTTTAATATTAATGTTTCTACGCACAAGGGCTTTTTGTACTAACCTAGCATTTTGACGGACGGATTTAAATGAATATCAATGCTGTTTTCTTATTGATGTCACGCGACCGACGGGTGTCCGAAGTTTAAGGAATTACATATAATTACAGGCCTTGTCATGACATATTAGACACCTACAGCTCAATTATGTTAAGCAGGCCAGCGACTTAGGCTTTCCTTGGGCGGATGGTAATTGTTTAACCACGAACCTCGACCTGGCATCACGTCATTAATGTTGTCTGATAAACGACGTTCCGCTCTGGGGTAGTAAGTAGTATGCCCGAGGAAATAACAAAAAATTTAACCAACATCGCCTAACATTGAAGATTTGCAACGATAATTTTTAAAGTCACACAGTTCTTTTTTAAAAATAAAACGTGGCAGATGTAACCTAGCATATGCTAAACCCGCAACACCACCAAGAATTGCAATTTAGCATAGTAGCGTCGGTGGCCGCAAGGTTTAGTCTTTGCCACGGCGCTCATCACTGTAAGGTAAAGGTCCCGGGTTCGAATCCAGCGGCCCCTCCATTCGAACCCGACATACTTACAAATGGGCTTTTTTTTTCAAAAACACCGGCACCCTGAGGGTTTATAAAAAAAGAAGGAATGATTGTATATTATAATGATTTAAAGAATAAACTCTGCCTGGTAATTATCATAAAAACCTTATTGCCATACCATAAATCAATAAAAATATCTTTCATAACAAAAGGTGGGTCCCATACAAGAAGGCAGAAGAGAAATGTGTCTTGAACTGTATGCCAGTTGGAGAAAGATTTTACTACAGGCACCAGGATCAAGTTATTGACGGTACACCTTGTAGTGATGAAGGAAGGGACGTTTGTGTCAACGGAAAATGCATGGTATCTACATGAGAACTACTCTTGATTTTTAATTTTTTTTAATGATCTTTAACATTTTAGTCAGTTGGCTGTGATAATCTGCTCGGATCAAAAATGAGGGAAGATGTATGTCGAGTTTGTGGTGGTGATGGATCGACATGCACAACAAAATCGGGCGTAATAGAAAAAAATGCACTCTTCATAGGTACATCGCTCTGTCAATGTTATGAAGTCTTTATTTTAACATTTTATGTGTTTCAGGCTATGAAGACCTATTTATAATTCCGACCGGAGCAACAAACATCAGAGTGCGAGAAAAATCACCTTCAAACAACTATTTAGGTAATTGTTAATTATCTATTTATAATTGTTTAAAAAATATTATTAAACTATTTTTATTTTAGCTGTGAGAAATAAGAACGGGCATTTTTATCTGAATGGAAACTGGAAAATAGACTACTCTCAGAGCTTAAAGTTTGCAGGAACAATTTTTGTTTATGAAAGGAAAAGTTTTCCTTTCTTAGCTTCTGAGTCTATCTCAGCTCTTGGCCCAACGAATGAAGCCCTTTACATAGTAGTAAGTTTGTTATTATATGTGGGATACAAATTCAGTGGGTTTCTTTTGTGCTGAAACATTTTTCTTAAACTCTATAGATGTTATACCAAGAACCAAACCCTGGTATTGAATATACATACAGTGTTCCAAAAGGATCATTCTTGGAAACACCAAATGAAGGATATGTTTGGGCGTATGACAGCTTTTCAGAGTGTAATGTGACTTGTGGGCAAGGTGGGTTAATAATTTATATTTTTTTAATCGTAGTGAGTCATATGGTTGACCTCAATCTGTTCTAGTTCTGTCTTAACCGATGGTTGATCTGGTCTTATTATTTGTTTATACAGGCTACCAATTTCGAAGAGTTTGGTGTTCTCAAGGGAGAAATGAAGTTAGTCTAGATCTTTGTGATAGTGGCTCAGAACCCACTTCAATAAATATCTGCTCCAAGCCAGTATGCCCTGCAAAATGGTATACATCAGATTGGTCTAGATGTTCTGAACCTTGTGGTAAAAAGGGCACAAGGTCTAGACAGGTTAGATCTGATAATTGAAAATTTTATTTTAAGAACGATGTAAGTATACAATTTATTTCAGGTGATTTGCCAACAAGAAGTAGGACTGGGAGCAATTAGAGTGGATGAATCGCTCTGCTTGCTTACAGAATCTGAACCACCGACTGTCGAAGAGTGCGAGGAAACTGGCCCTTGTCCCACTTGGCATGAGGGACCATGGAAACCTGTAATTGATTAAATATTAATCAAAATAATTGACATTTTCTGATTTTAAAAAATGTTCTAGTGTGATCATCTTTGTGGAAAAGGAAAACAAAGGAGAGAAGTTCATTGCTACAAAAAAACCAACGGTTTAATCGAAGTGCTTGATAAAGAATATTGTGCTGAAAAAATGCCAGAAACTGAAAAAAGCTGCAACTTGAGACCGTGTGAAGGATTGGATTGGATAACTAGTGATTGGTCTGGAGTAAGTATAAGCAATTAGTTATTTAAAATGTTGATTTTTGGAGAAAAAAAATTAATTTAACTATCAACAATCTAAACTTCTGATGAGCCAGAATTTATGTTATATGCAGAGAAACTTTAAAATTGTAAAAGGATAATTTTCTTTCCTAGTGTAGCGAGAAGTGTGGAGTTACATTTGAAACGAGAACAGCGCAATGTGCTAATGAAAAAGGAGTTGTATTCCCTGATTCCATGTGTCAGGAAAATCTAAAGCCTGAACTAAAACGTAACTGTGTAGTTAGTCCTTGTGCAAGTCAGTGGTTTGCATCACAGTGGAGCCCTGTAAGTAAAGTTATTTGTCTATCCAGTGTCATAACAAATTAAATATTAGTATATTATTTCTTTCTTGTACAGTGTTCAGCTAAATGTGGTGTTGGAATTCAATCGAGAGACGTTTTTTGTGTCTCATTTGAAAGCGACACATTGGTCAAAGTAGACGAAAGCAAATGTGACCCAAAACTAAAATATGATAATCAAAAGGAATGTAAAGTTGAGGAAGAATGCAAGGGAGAATGGTTTGCTGGGCCGTTTGGCGAGTGTTCCAAACCATGTGGTGGTGGTCTGAAAGAGAGAAAAGTTATGTGTTTAAAAAATAGCACTACAGTTAACCTTGCTGAATGTGATGAAAGTAAAATCATATTAAAAGTAGAAGATTGCAATAAAGAACCCTGTGGTGAAGGTAGAGAATAATATATTTTTACTTTTATTTTAATTGAGTTATCACAATAATGAACTTTTACTCTTTTAGATCACATAATTCCTGTGTCAACAGACCAAACTATTTTGGAAGAAGATTCTGAAGAATGTGACTATGATGATTATGATTATGAAGACACAACATCAAGTGAAATTGTAAGTATTATTTATCTAATGTGCAATAACACATATTTTTAAATTACAATAATGACAATTCTTTAATTACAATTTTCTATGGCAAATGGTCGCCACTGCATAAAGACACCCATGCTGTAAATTTTATATTTTGTAAGATTTACAACATGCCCTACAATAAAATATATTATTATTTATTATTGTAGGATATTCTTAAAGAGGTGTCATTTGGAAGTGAAGGTGATGATGGTTCAGGAGATTTGCCAAGCGAACCTGATTTAAATGTATATATGACAACAACAGGTGACATTTTACTTCGTGATGAACCACAAAAAGAAGCTATTGGTAGTTCAGAAACAACACAAACTTCGGATTCACTAACCACTTCATCTTTATCAATGTCAATGGTCACAAGTGATAGTACATCATCAGATCTTCAGTCATCTTCAACATTATCAGGGTCTTCTATGGATGGAAGTTCGTCATCAATGGATGGCACATCACTTAGCTCAAGTTATTCTTCATCAGAAGCGACCTCTGATTTTACTCAATCATCTACAGATTCATCTACAGGTTCATCTACAGATTTATCTACAGATTCATCTACAGATTTATCTACAGATTTATCTACAGATTCATCTACAGATTTATCTACAGATTCATCTACAGGATCATCTGTAGATTCATCTTCAGTCTCATCTTTAACTTCAGATTCATCCTCAGCATCAGAAACTTTAACAACAACCAGTGATTCATCTACCACCGAATCTTCTGTTTTCAGTTCATTTTCTACTTTCAGTACTCTTTCATTTTTCACAAGTGTATCTACTGATGAAAGTACATCATCACCAAGTGGTAAATAAAATTTTATATATTGACTTTTCCATGTGGAAATTCACACTATTATATCTCTAGAAGGAAGTTCTCTAACGACTGGAACAGGCTTCAGCGACGTAACATCCTCTGAATCTTCTGAATCCTCAGAAACTGTTGACTTGACAACATTTGATGAGACTTCTTCTTCTGAGCCTTCATCAATATTTGTGGATACTAGTTCCACTCCATCTGAATCATCCACCCCAACGGATACAACTGATGAAAGTAGTGCAACATCAGAGTGGACACCAGGTAATGACATTTCTTTTTAACATCGTCCTGTATATAATAAGTTAAAGTGTAAAAATTTTGTTTATGTTTAGTAAAGACATTTTATTTTTAAGCTGTTTTCCAACAATGCTGATTTCGAGCCCTTAGCTCATCATCAGGTTGAGGGATTTCTACTACCACGTCTCGACATGAATTGCAAAAGTGAACCTGCTGATACCCCCACCATATTTATCTTTAATCACTAATTTATAATTAATTTCTTACAGTATTTACCATTACAATATTTACTTGTGTTATAATTCCCGCTTTTCGCAAATTGAATGCCATTTTTAAAAAAAACCAGCTTCTCATTCGAACGTCGCGTTGGTGGGGGCATCGCCGGGTTCACTTTTGCAATTCATGTCGAGAGTTGTGGTTGTAGAAATCCTTCAACCTGATGATGAGCTAAGGGCTTGAAATCCGGATCGTTTGAAAACAATTACTGTGAGTAGGAATGTAGTTTTTTTAAAAGTACTGAACACCACACTCACTCCATCATTTCTATTTTATTTGTATTTATTTATAAAATTAAATTACAAAGTGTGAAAAACATTTCAATTTCATGAAACATCCACAACACTATTTACATATAAAATAAACTAATTAACTAAATTCGTATAGTTAAGTGGTTGGAGCAGTGGCATATTGAGCTGAAGGTCGTGGGTTCGAATCCCGCTCGTGACACTTACTTTTTTATTTCAACCAAGACCTTACATACAAAGAATAATTAATTAAATTCATATATTTCCAAACACATTAATTCTTGTACTTATTTTGATGCTAAATAGTTGATTAATTACTTACCTTAATTGAAAATAATATTAACTTGTACATATTTGTAGTTGTTTATGACCTAACAACAGAAAGTCCCATTGATGCTGCCATCACCAAGGAACAAAAAGTCAGAAAATGCAAGAAGAGGAGAGAAAGAAGCAAATGTGCAAAATCCAAATTTGGTTGTTGTCCTGACAAGAAAACTAAAGCTAAAGGACCATTTGGAAAAGGTAACACTTATAGTTACAATATCCTCGTTTTTAGTACTTAAAAAAATGTTTTAACACATCATCAGGTTGCTCTGTTCCAAAGACTTGTAAAGAAGCTGAATTCGGATGTTGCCTTGATGGACTTTCCTCGGCCAAAGGCCCCAAATACAAAGGCTGTCCAAAACCTGACTGTGATCAAACTCTATTTGGATGCTGCAAAGATGGTGTTACAGCATCCAAAGGAAATTATTATGAAGGATGCCCTGAGGAACCAACCACTATGGTTGACTGTATGATGAGCAAGTATGTTATGAACTAAATAAAAATAATTGTTGGTTACAACTTTATTAATTTGTTTATTTGAAAAGGTGGGGATGTTGTCCTGATGGTATTTTATCAGCGATGGGACCTAACCAAGCAGGCTGTGTGTGTGATAATTGTGTTCCTTGTAATGAGGCTGAGTATGGGTGCTGTCCTGACAGAGTTACTACAGCAACAGGGCCAAATTATGAAGGGTGTAACAGTAAGTTTAGACTAATGCATTAATACGCAAAAGCAATATGTTTTCATTTACTATTCCCTTGCAGTTCTTGAGAGACCAGATTGCAAATCTACTGAACATGGGTGCTGTCCCAATGGGCTTACAGCAGCAGAAGGGCCAGAAAATAAGGGATGTGCAAGTTGTCAAGAAACAGAATTTGGTTGTTGTCCTGATGGAGTCAAGAGTGCCTTGGGTGATAATAGCTTTGGCTGTGAGCCAGTTTGTGCTTCAAGTCAATTTGGATGCTGCCCAGACCAAGTTACTATGGCCCATGGTCCGCATTATGAAGGATGTTGTCTGGCCTATCAATTCGGGTGTTGTCCTGACCATATAACACCTGCGAGAGGTCCAAATAATGAAGGTTGCGAATGCACACATTCACCTTATGGTTGTTGCCCTGATAATACAACAGCCGCTAAGGGCTACAACAAAGAAGGTTGTGGATGCCAACACTCAGAACACGGCTGTTGCCCTGATGACATGACAGCTGCACAAGGGCCTGAATTTGAAGGTTGTCCTTGCAGCACTTTCCAATTTGGATGTTGTCCAGATGGTGTAACTAGAATCCAAAGTCCTTATGATGTTAATTGCCGATGTGAAACTACACCATATGGTTGTTGTTCTGATGGAGTTACCACAAAACTTCACCCAGATGAAAAATGCTCTTGTGAAGCAACTAAATATGGCTGTTGCCATGATGGCTATACCGAGGCTCAAGGAGACAACTTTGAAGGTTGTGAAAATGTACCACCTAAAGGAGGTAATGGTTTATTTGCTTTTTAAATATACCAGAACTCTGGAAAAGACAAACTAATCATGTTTTCAATTATAGAAATATGTAGTTTGCAAAGGGATGCTGGTCCTTGCAGGGACTTTGCCACGTTTTACTTTTTCGATATGCAATATGGAGGTTGTGCTAAATTCTGGTATGGTGGCTGTGAAGGAAATTTGAACAGGTTTAAAACACAGGAAGAATGTCATTCACGCTGTGTCGTACTTCCTGGAAAAGGTAATATAATCATAAAATCCTTTCCTTCATCTGATATTTAACAACATTGTTAATTTCTTTTTCTTAGGAGGCATTAATTTTAAAAAATTTTCCAAGAAAGACTCCTTTTTTTAGTCTTTAAGTAACTTGAAATACAAAAAATTATTACATAACTAGTTTAATTGAAACTCTTAATTATTTTAGATATATATTTTATTGTTATTTTATTGTTACAGATGCTTGTACTCTTCCCAAAAGTGTTGGTGCCTGTTCAGGACAGCATTCAACACTTGCTTGGTATTTTGATAATGAATCCAAGCGTTGTCAAGAATTCTATCATTCTGGCTGCCTCGGAAATAATAACCGGTTTGATACACGAGAACAATGTGAAGAACTCTGTGGATCTCAGGATCATCTAGGTACTTTTTAAAAAACCATTAGAAATTGAGATATAGACATTTTATTTGCTCATTTTTTAGACGAATGTGAACAGTCCCTTGAGCCTGGACCGTGTCACGGTCAATTCAGAAGGTGGTATTTCAACAAACAAGACAAAACATGTCAAGAATTTGTTTATGGAGGTTGTAAGGGTACCAAGAATAACTTTATGACAGAAGCTGCATGCAAGTACAGGTGTATGCGGCCTCCAACAACAGCACCACGTTCGTATATTTTATCCAATTGCTTTCTGCTTGATATATTTAATATTATGTTAATGATGCATGTCTAACATTTCTTAACAATATAACATTTTTGGTATGATAGAAGAATGTTTCGCACCTAAACAGACTGGCAACTGCACTGATAAAATTCCTAAATGGTACTTTGCAATGCCCCAACAAAAGTGCATGCCATTTTACTACACTGGATGTAATGGTAATGGAAACAGTTTTAATTCTCAAGAGGAATGTGAAACAAATTGTCCAATACCTAAAGGTAATTTGAATTGCAATTTCTTTACTTGATATGTTTATTCATTGGAATAGGCAAAAGAACTCTGAAATCACATTTAGCATAGATGACACTATTTGATTTAAGTAATTAGTTTGCTTGATAATTCATACATTAATGTAGATTAGTGATTAATGGTGAAAGTTCATACACAAAGAATGCATTATATTAGCAAATGTGCACAAATAACAGCCAAAGCTTTCTAACTATTTCAGAAACAAATATTTGCACGTTACCCGCTGTGGGAGGTGGTTGCTCTAACTATACCAGCAGATATTATTATGATACTGCTAAAAAGTCTTGTGAGCATTTCTATTACGGAGGGTGTGAAGGTAATGAAAACAACTTTTTAACACAAAATGATTGTATGCGACGGTGTGGACAGGGATCGTATGTAGAAACACCTGAAGAACCATTTTCAACAGGTTACTGATTTGAAAGGTCATCTGCTAAATACAAAAAGTCTAATATAAAGCTATTGACAATTGTAGATATGTGTGTGTTGCCACAAGAAAGGGGTAGATGTAATGAATATTACCATCGATACAGTTACAATCATGCCGACGGAACTTGTAAGCCATTTACGTACACTGGATGTGAAGGCAATGGAAACAACTTTGAAACAGAAGAGCAATGCCAACAATCTTGTGGACATACTCAAGGTTTTTAAATGTATTAATGTCATAATTTTACAAAAGTAATAACCAACTGTCCTTACCCAGACAAATGCAGCCTACCCCGAGTTGCTGGCCCATGTGATAATTGGACGCCACAATATTATTACGACCCATCCAGTGATCGATGCCTTTCATTTAACTATGGCGGATGCTTGGGTAATTCCAATCGGTTCAATACAATTGAAGAATGTGAACACGCTTGTAAAAGAAGTGAAGAACCGCCACCAGAACCACCACGCCCATCTCCAGACCACAGGACCTACTCAAATATCTGTTTGTCACCAGTTGATCCTGGTCCATGCCTCGAACAAGTATGAATCTCATATCTGTATTAGTAAATTAATTATTTATCTGTTGTATTTTATATTTATAAGATACCTTCTTGGCACTACGATTCCCAAACTGGAGAATGTAAATCTTTCTTATATGGAGGATGCGAAGGCAATGCAAATAGATTTCTTTCAGAAGAACAGTGTGAAAGGCAATGTGGTGAATACAGATCACAAGGTAAAATAAAGCATAAATATGCAACTGGTCACTTTTAACAACTTTTGGCATTTTTATTCTCAGATGCTTGCAGTGGTTATTCAGTCTCTGGCACTTGCCATGACTCACAGCTTAAATATTTCTTCGATTCGGAAAGAGCAACATGCTCGCCATTTACTTACAGTGGATGTGGAGGAACGGCAAACAGATTTAGCTCAGTGGCCGAATGTGAATCTATGTGTCGAGCCTACATAGAGCCAAAACCATACAAAGGACGGCATAGTGAAACAGCAACAACAGGTACAATCATATTATATCTTATTATTATATATTTTTATTTTATAATCCGTTTAACTACTAACTTCCTTGTAAATATAGTTTTTGACAAATCCTACTTTACAACTCTGATTTGCATTGTTTTCATTCACTTCTTTTTTTTAAGATATCTGTACTCAACCAATGGAGCCTGGCAATTGTGACACCCATTTAACAAGATGGATATATGATGATGAGGAGAGAACTTGCATTTCATTCTTGTATACTGGATGCGGTGGTAACTTCAACAATTTTGAAACAAATGAAGAGTGTATGAATTTCTGTGTTTGTGCGTAAATTTTTAACTTCATCATATACTATTTTATTTATAAATATTTACATATATGATCCTCTGTTGATAGCAAATGATATTGACGTCGGACCCGATGTTCCGACCAAAGATTGCCGAGCCGTCGAGGATGATTGTCGAAGGATGACTCATTGTCAATACGGTATCGAACGTTGGGTAGATGATAATGACTGTGAAAATTGTCGATGTAACAATCCTTGCGAACCTTCACCCTGTAGTCCTCATGCATCATGCGAAGTTGAGCGAACTGAAGGAAATGAATTTAAGGCAGTTTGTACTGGAGGTTAGGAATCTAATGCACTATTAATGGATTTTTACTGTAATTAAAAAAATTATTATAAATTTTTTTTTACAGATGAGCACCAACATCATCCTGGTGTTTGTCCACATCTTGGCCCTGAACATCAAGATTGTAACAACGAGTGTGAATATGACTCAGACTGTAAAATCTACGAGAAATGTTGCTATAACGGTTGCGGGTTGACGTGCATTCCTGCAGTCTCAGAAGTGGTTACACAAGCACCAAATACTTATGGTTAGAATTTACCAAAATACAGATTAAAATTAATAAATTTCACAGCAGCATATCATTGTATGTTAAAACAAAATATTTGGTAAATGTGAGAAAACGAGTGAAATGTCATCACTATGCAAAATTTATAGTTACAATCCTGTATCTATTGTTGTTAATAACTTAAAACAAAACATTAATTTATTTATACCTTTTTACAGCCTATATATTAGATGATACACCATCAGAAGCCGAAGAAGAAGAAGGAAATATGGTATCATTTGAATGCAATGCACATGGTTCTCCAGCTCCAAAAGTGGAATGGAAGCGAAATGGACAAACTGTAGGCACTTTATCTTAACAGAATTCTGTTTTAAAATTAAACAATTATTAATATGTTCCAATTTATATATTATATTATGTCAAATACCAACTAGATTTTTATGAATTTATTAATTGTAGATTGATGTTTGAACTTTTTTTTGTTGCTGTTTAATCACACTACTTTTGTAATTTTCAGATAACTGCATCGGAAAGCAGCAAATATAGAGTGGCAAAAGATGGAAAACTAGAAATAATCGGTTTAGAAATAGAAGATGATGGTGAATATGTATGCGAGGCAAGTAATGGAGGAGTACCAGCTACCAGGCTGTATCATTTGACTGTCAGAGGTAACATGCACAAAATTTTAAACAACTGAATAAAACCTTTAAAAAACTAACACTTTTCTAACAATTGGTATATGGGTAATATTAAGAGGGGACAACAAGGCAAGTTACTGTTGTGAACAATCCAGACGAAAAGGAAATAATCGCAACAATCAACAACCCTGTTGTCTTGCGATGCTATGCCATCGGCTTCCCAGCACCTTCAGTAAGTTGGTGGAAGGGAGAAAAGGTACTGCTCAGAAGCGACGGTATAGAACAAAGGCGTGACAACAGCCTTTATATTCAAAGAGTCTCACCGAAACATCTCGGATACTATACTTGTCAACTTTACAATGGTGGTGGGAGCGCCGCATCTTTTACACTAACGCTTAAAATGTACGGCCCAATAGATCCGTATGATCCTAACGATCTAACATCTAACCAGTTCCTCGTGCCAAGCCCTAAGGGCCCACCTGTCGAGGACAGGCCTCGCCCTCCACCTTACCATCCTCAAGGTAGAGGTACTAACCTAATTACTAACACCTAATAAATGCTTGTAAAATCAATCGGACAGTTTTATTTAAATTCGTTTTTCTGTTCAGTTCCAGTGCAGGTTCATGCATCATCAACTGCCCATAAAATAACACAAGGATCAAATGTGACACTTAATTGTTCAAGTAGTGCTGGAAATCCAGTTCCAGAATACACATGGCTGAAAGACAGTATCCCCCTTTATTCTGATGACAGAGTTTTCGTGCAAAGTGAGTTAAATTTTTGCAATAAAATCATTTAAACGTGTCCTAATAATATATTAAATAATGTCTTCTGTGCCTAAAACTTCTGATATTTTAAATATAAAAAATTTTAATATGAACTAATGAATTAATTTCAATTAGGGTAAACATATCTGGAAAAAAAGTTCAGTCGCAATTGATATGTTGTGTAAAATTTAAAAAAATTTATTTTCAACTTAAACAACCCTATTCTACTTTTTTCTTCACAGACAATTGGGTAATAATAACAAATGCTCAACCTTCGGATAGTGGTGAATATACTTGCGTTGGTGATAACAGACATTCAAGTGCTCAGTCCTCCGTTGCGATCGAAATTGAATGTAAGTTCTATTGATTAATTGTAATTAATTGTTAATTTAACTTTTTTCTTTATTTAATAGCGGCAATACCAGCAAATTGTACGGACAGCCCTTATTTCGCTAACTGCGAGCTTATTGTGGGGGCCAACTACTGTAACCACGAATATTACGCCAAGTTTTGTTGCAAGTCATGCACCGAAGCTGGGAAATTTAGCGGTTTGCACCACAGAAGGACTAGGTCAATTGTTGATTTCATCCAAATGCAACGAATAAAGAACATGTTGCCATCAAGGACAATTAAGGATTTAAAAAACAGACAATAACGGCTTGAAATAAATAACATAGCTTTTTACGATAGAACAAAAATTAATTAGTTCCTTTTTCTTTATAACGCTGTCTTTTGAAACATGCCATTTATTCCTTTTTTGTTGTTTCTTGTTTGCCTCTGCGGCCAAATAACTTTAATTATTACTAAATTATAATCACAAATGAATATCATTAAATTAATATCATTTCATTGTAGGTGTCTTGTTTTTGTTGTCTTTTTGTTTTATATAAAAGCATTACTAGTAAAATAAATCAGCAATAAACACACTTCCCTGAAATAATAATAATAAATAAATATTGGATCTGACCAATATTCTATTTATCAAGTCACTTCATTTACGGGCTTTCTTTAAAAACAAATTCCTTAAGACAACCTCATTGTGTAATTTATAATGTCATAATGTTAATTTATATTAAGTACCAACTACATCAGAAATATTTTGTTTTGCAACATTTCACAATTAAATAATATCTTAATATTTATTTAACAAAAGTGAGAAATATAAGAAACTCTTCTTCAAACATTGCTTAAGCTGATGATGAAATAAATTTCTGTAAATATTGTCTAGAATAAAGTTGTAACCGTTCCCTCTTTCCGTTAATGTTTAACACAATTTCAATTTGTTTTGATTGTTATTTAAATTAATATGTTTAATTCTTTGTAATCTAATTTTATCAATCATGTACTTTTTTTACTAATTTTCTTAAAATTTCCATTCAAGCATCAACAATAATAGACGTTTTATATTATTTAATTGTACGAATAGTTAATAATGGCAAAACAGACCAAAATAATTGTATAAAAATATATTATAATTCTAAGTCACAATGAAAGTTTATTTAATAATAGTATATAATGTTTGTAAGTAGTTTACAATAGAAGTTTTAGTGTATAGAAACTTTTTTAAACTTTTATATTTTGTCTAATCTTTCAAAGATTTTTATATATATGTATACACATTTTCTCTGGTGCTAAATTATTTGTATCTCTTTTATTATTTTTGCCCTGAAATTGCATCGTTTTAGATATTTTCAGTATGCCACAAGTGCCTTCAACTTTATTCTCTCAATTTCTCTGTGATAGCTGATAAATAATTTCTTAATATTTTAAAATATAATCCATTTGCCTCCTTACTCCTGACATACTGTATTTTTGTCTGTAAATATATAAATAAATTTGCATCAGTCTTGTTTATTTTTATAAACCTTCCAATTCAATTAACTCTGAAATGGTGATGAAAATAGATTTTTGTTTTATAAAATCTCACGCTGGGTTCAAAATTTGTTTTTTGTTATATAATACAATAAATTAAAATGTGTAATGTGCCTAAACTGTAGTTAATATATTATTAAATTATAGTATACATATGAAGAAGTATTAGGATTTGTTATTATGTTGTCTAAGTACTTCTAGTAGTAGTCTAAGTACTTACATTAGTCTACTTTACAAGCCTCTAGAAGTTAATATTTTAAACATAAATGTAGATAGGGCATTTCAATTTTCCTTATAAATAAAAAATAAAAAAAACAGCATGGCAAAAAAGGTCATTGCCACTTTCTTAAACTTTGAAATCAGCCCGTGCTCAGCCACTTCCAAATAAGGAGATTCTTGATGCCAACTAAATAAAAGGGGGGGGGGATGAGCTGTTGATATGAGCAGTTGAGCACACTGCTCACCACACCACTACCATAGTTCCAATTGAGTATTTTGGATGGAAAAAGAAAAATAGTTCTAGACATTGTTAAAAAGTAGCTAAAGTGAAAAACTTTGCTGAACATTAATTAACAATTCAGCAAAAACACTAATACTATTAGTTAAATTCACTAAATGATTTTCTGGTGTTTTGATGAATTTTCTTTCAAACCATCATAATTAAATATTTTTTATTAAAACTCATAAATTTCTGATTTCGTTTAATTTGGTTTGTTTGTAATTAATATAATGTTGAAATTAGTTAAAATAGGCAATGTTTAGTCAACAAATTACACAAGTAATTCACTATTTTTTGTGGTCCGCTTGACCAATTAATATCATTCAATTAATTAAGGTTTTTAGTTGAGATAAAAAAAGTCAGTGTCGCGAGCTGGATTCGAACCCATGACCTTCGGCTAGATACGCCGCTACTGTACCACTTGAGCTATCCTGACTTCTACCCTCCTTTTTGCCATTTTTCAAATGTGGTGTAATCTATTTGATTCTCGGCGACAAATGAAAATGGCAAAAAAGAGGGAAAATTCGAAAGGTAGGATTGGGAAGTTAATGTCCGAGTGGATCTGTCACGATAGCTCAAGTCATAGAGTAGCGGTGTATCAAGCCGAAGGTCGTGGGTTTGAATCCCGCTCGTGACACTGACTTTTTTTATCTCAACTAAAAACCTTAATTAATCGAATGAAATTACACAAGTCGAAGAGCATATCAATTCGCCATTTATAACACCATACTTGTGTTGAACTGTGGGAGGGCAATACCTTGGCTCCATATAGAAAGCATGTCACCAGTTATGAGAATTGTGATTATGTATGGCAGTATCTGGGACCCCTGTCCCAATTTTTGTAGGAAACAGGGTTGTTTTATTTATAGTAAGGATAGATTTGTGTCCATAGCATGTGTTGATAGTAAATGTATTTATTAGAATGAATGTATAATGTGTGAGGGCTGATATTGGCAGAATATTGAATACCCATTCCGCTTCTTGGAAGAAACAGGACTGTATTATTGTATATAATTGTGTGTCCCTAGCAAGCATTTAGAGTAATTATTGGAGTGAGAGTGGCATAATGCTGAGTACTCCGTCGATCCTCAATTAGGTCTATTATATAATAGGTGAATTTTTTGGTGGATGTAGTATTGTGTCCCTGGCATGAGTTGAGAGTGGATGTATTTATTTGCATGAATGGTACGTAAATAGGAGAGAATATATTTAAGAATAAGTGTGAGTGTGAATGGGTTTGGAACTGCATACGCTGGGTGCTAAATTGACCTAGCTGTAGTTAGCCCCTGGAGTCCAGCCTTGGCAGCTGGACGGACAAGACCAAGATCTGATCCCAGTGTAGGTGATTCTTAAGGCCTACCAGAAATTTATTGAAAATTACAAAATTTGGAATTGCCAGGGGACTGCGAGAAGTGATAGGCTCCACACTGTACAGACGCGTACGTATAAATCTGTGTGCAGATTTGAGGTTGCATAAATCAGTAATAATGTATTGTGAATTTATAAAGAATGTGTGCACTGTTACATAACTTGCTCAATTCAATCATAAATTTATATTTTTTAGATGTTGAATTAACTCTAAATGTTACCTACAAAATAAAGGCTTTTCTAGACTAAAGATACGTCATATAAAGTGCTTTTGAATTGAGTAAAAAAAATTTGTATACAAAAAAAACTTAAGGCATTTGTTATTTTTTAGTAAAATATTAACAATTGTACAATTATTTTTTTCCTATTTCTAAGCCTTTTTTTAAAGATGATTTAAAGAAATGATCAAATGTGTGAAGTTTTGGCCTCCTGTTACTTTTTCAAGTACATGGATTATTTCTGAAAAATAGTTATATTAATTTTCCAGAAAAAAGCCATGAACTTGAAAATACCACAGGATGCCAAAAAGTCAAACATTGTAGAAATTCTTTAAAACACATTAAAAAATGTCTAGAAATAAGAAATATTAAATCATCTATAAAAAGGAAAACAAAATCTAAGGAAATAATGTTTCAGTTATATAAAACTACTACCACTACTACTATTACTGGGAATGGATTACTAGAAAATAATTATAGTTATTACATTACATCTGACATTCCACAATAGAAGATTAATGGAATTTTGGCAATTTTTTGTTTTAATGATGTTTGGTGGTAGTAGTAAAGTGTGTAGTGGTAGTGTAAAGGCAAATTTTTTTGTGGGGAAAAGAACAAAAGTTTATAGGATTTTAATTCGAAAAATTAAACATCTTATTATTAGGGGTTAGCAACAAAAAGAATAAAATTTCCAATATTTATAGTTTTTTTTGTCTTCAAATGCTAAGAAATTCAAGGTTTTTGTGTGCATATTTCATTTGTGCGGGCACATTCTTTTGTTTCAATGATTTGTGGAAAAAGAACAAAAGTGTATAATATTTTAATTCCTAAAATTGTCTCATTATTATTAATAAAGAGTTAGCAACAAAAAGATAAAATATACAATATTTACATTTTTTCCAAACTGTATTTGTGCACATACATCTTTTTTTTAAGATTTGTGATTAAAGAACAAAAATTTATAGTACTTTAATTGCAAGCGTTTTTTCTCCAAACTGTTCAGAAAATCAAGGTTTAAGTGTTTATATTTCATTTGTACACACACATTTTTTTGTTTTAATGATTTGTGATTAAAGAACAAAAATTTAAAGTACTTTAATTGCAAGCGTTTTTTCTCCAAACTGTTCAGAAAATCAAGGTTTAAGTGTTTATATTTCATTTGTACACACACATTTTTTTGTTTTAATGATTTGTGGGAAAAGGATAAAAATTTGTAGTATTTTAATTCCAAAAATTAAACATCTCATTATCATTAGTAAGGGGTTAGCAACAAAAAGAGAAAATTGTAAATATACAATATATTTTTTTTTCAAACTGCTATGAAGTTTAAGGTGTTTGTGATATTGCATTTGTACTTTTCTTTTGAAAATTTGTGGGTAAAGAACAAAAGTTTAAACTTAAGGTTTTTTGTGTATATTTCATTTGTCCACATACAACTTTTTTTAAGATTTGTGAGTAAAGAACAAAAGTTTATAGTATTTTAATTGCAAGCATTTTTCTTCAAACTGCTAAGAAATTCAAGGTTTAAGTGTTTATATTTCATTTGTACACATACATTTTTTTGTTTTAATGATTTGTGGGAAAAGGACAAAAAATTTTAGTATTTTAATTCCAAAAATTAAACATCTCATTATCAATAATAAGGTGTTAGCAACAAAAATGAATATTTATAGCATTTTTTCTTCAAACTGCTAAGAAATTCAAGGTTTTTGTGTTTATATTTGATTTATGTATACACTTTTTTTTTAGATGAACTATACATTGAAATATGAATATAAAACGAGTCAGCCAGATGGACCCTATTCTTATTCTAGAAAAATGTTCTGTATTAAAAATATTTATAAACGCATAGTGTAGTTCTGGTTGTTGCCTCATCAGCGCTGGTTTGCATCAAGCCTTATTAGAGATAGTGGTCTGCAGGACGCCTGCTCTCTACATCTCTAGTCTCTATACCGTTCCGACTTCCAATAGGTCCACCTCCACAGAATCACCTAGAGCTGACGGCCGCTTCTCGTCTTTGTCGTTTTTTTTATTTTCTCCTCGCCTCCGTCGGATAACAGACAACACATCCAGGCTTTGAGCTTCTTAGTTGCCAGCTTTTTTAAGTGGGAACCATTTGATAACGTCAGTCAATTATGTCATATTCATCGAGTAAGTACTATTTTTATAATCCGTATCGAAGTTTGTGCCTTTATTAACCTAAAGAAATGCTCTATTAAGCCGGCCCAGTCTATTTAAATCAAAAGAGAGAAAAAAGCTCCCCTCCCCATGAGTCGACCCTGTTGTTCTGTTAATCACAACACCGGTCTGCATAGAGATGTGCCAGCTAACTTAAACCAATGAGAAGCTTTCTCAATTTTCCACATATTAGTCATATAATATCATACTGTCATATTTCACGCCTTATCAAGATTTAATTAAAAATAGAAGAACTCTACCCACCACTATAATACACCAATCTTTTCTTTTTGTTTGGTTTTTCTTATTCGATTCTAAATTGCACATAACACAGAAAATTTAGTATTGTCTAATATCCTTTATAAGCTTTTATCAATTTGATAATTTTATAACAATATTTTCATCCACATATGCACTGCCAAAAAATATAACATAAAATACATATTTATTCTTTTTTTTAGTGGTCGTCCTTTTAATCCTCCTTTAATCCTAATGCTGCTGTCATATTTCACACCTTGTTAACATTCTAAAAAAATATAGGGGAGCGATATCCACAAAATGATACACCAATCTTTATTGTTTGTTTAGTTTTTCTTATTGTTATAAATTGCAAAAACAGAAAGTTTAGTATTATTGTATAATATCCTTTTAATGCCCAAACCATCATCCTTTAATGCCTTTTGCCAATAAAAATCTTTCTGTTTTCCACATATTAGTCATATAATATCATACTGTCATATTTCATGCCTTATCAAGATTTAATTAAAAATAGAAGAACTATACCCACCACTATAATACACCAATCTTTTCTTTTTGTTTGGTTTTTCTTATTTGATATATAATGTTTTGTTCTAAATTGCAAATAACTTACAGAAAATTTAGTATTGTTGTATAATATGCTTTATAAGCTTTTATCAATTTGATAATTTTATAACAATATTTTCATCCTCATATGCACTGCCAAAAAATATAACATAAAATACATATTTATTCTTTTTTTTTAGTGGTCGTCCTTTTAATCCTCCTTTAATCCTAATGCTGCTGTCATATTCCACACCTTGTTAACATTCTAAAAAAATATAGAGGAGTAATATCCACAAAATGATACACCAATCTTTATTGTTTGTTTAGTTTTTCTTATTGTTATGAATTGCAAAAACAGAAAGTTTAGTATTATTGTATAATATCCTTTTAATGCCCAAACCATCATCCTTTAATGCCTTTTGCCAACAAAAATCTTTCTCAGTTTTCCACATATTAGTCATATAGTATCATAATGTCATATTTCACACCTTATCAAGATCAAAAAAAAATATAGAGGAGTAATATCCACAAAATGATAACCAATCTTTACTTTTTGTTTGGTTTTGACATCTTATTCCTCATATAATGTTTCTAGCATATTTCACACCTTGTTAACATTCTAAAAAAATATAGGGGAGCAATATCCACAAAATGATACACCAATCTTTATTGTTTGTTTAGTTTTTCTTATTATTGTAAATTGCAAAAGCAGAAAGTTTAGTATTATTGCATAATATCCTTTTAATGCCCAAACCATCATCCTTTAATGCCTTTTGCCAACGAAATTCTTTCTCAGTTTTCCACATATTAGTCATATTTCACTTTATCAAGATTAAAAAAAAAATATATATATATATAGGAGTAATATCCACAAAATGATAACCAATCTTTACTTTTTGTTTGGTTTTGACATCTTCTTATTCCTCATATAATGTTTCTGTCATATTTTACACCTTGTCAAGATTCTAATAAAATATAAAAGTAATATAAGACATAAATTTTTTTTTGTTATAACATTTTGTACGAAATTGTTAACAATGTTTTAAAAATTTATTATAGTATTTTTTTAAATAATCTTTACCTTTGAATTGTTATTAAATAGTCATTTTTACCCCTAATATATTTCACAGTACATCTGCATTTATCTATTGTATTTTCATGCCAATTTGTGATTTCTAAATTTTCTTCTTACCATAGATGATGCTGCCATATTTCACATTCTGCCAAGTGCCCAAAAAAAACCCCTAAATCAGTTATTTTTTAATTTTAATGTTTTTAAACATTTTTTAAATTATGATTTTTTTTTCATTCTTCTCCTTGTTACATATTGGTGTTGATGGTTGTGATTATGTTGTCATACATTAGGTCTTGCCAAGACCTGCATTTATCTGTTATATTTATCTGCCAAGTAGTGTTGCTAAATTTTCTCCTAATCCTATTCAATGCTATCATAGTTCATACCTTGTCAAAATTTAAAAAACTAAAATAAATAATAAAAATATTTAAAAAAAGATATTTTCTCTTCATTTGGTTTTGCTTATCCAATTTGTAATGTTTTGCTCCAAATTGTTAATAATTTAAAGAAATTATTTCAGTATTTATATAATATCGTTTATAGTTTTTATCGATTTGATACTTTTACACCAAAGATATTTTCACCCACAAATGCACTGCCAAAATTATAATATAAAAAATATAAATTTATTAATTATTGGTTTTATTTTTGAGTATCCAATTTATTTCTTATTTCTTTTTTTTTTACATTTTTTTCATTTTTTTTTTTTTTTATGTCGTATTTCACACCATGTCAAGATTCAAATAAAAATAGATGAACAACTATATCCCAAAATAAAGCACAGATTTTTTTTGTTGTGAATTTCAATATTTTTTCGATATTTTGCCAGTTAAGTTTTGATAAAATTGACACTTTTACCCCAAGTATACATCTGCATTTACGTCATATTTCATACATTGTCAAGATTCAATTGAAAATAGGGGAATGATCTATATTCACAATAAAACATCAACTTTTTTTTTTTTTTTTTGGTTGGTTTTGCTTATTCAATTTAACAAATTTTGTTGCAATTTGTAAATATCTTTTAAAAAAATCTGTTGTAGTATTTTTTAAATAATCTTTAAGATCAAGTTTTTATAAGTTTGTCATTTTTACCCCAAATATATTTTCCTATACACTTGCATTTATCTTTTCCTTTATATTTTCCTACCAAGTAGGGATTGTGCCAAATAGAAATAGAGAAACCCATTTTCACTACATAGAACTTTTTTTGTCTTGAATATTAAATTACGGTCAATTATAACTACTAAATACATATATGGATTAATTAAATATAATGTTTTTAGTCAAATTCCAATTTGAATTTATGAAGTTTTGGTTTGATTTTTCTCTTGTTACACCTTGATGATTAGGGATGATTTTTACTTTTCACAACAGCAGAGGTTATATCAACCCTCGGGGTGTCGATGTTTTTGAAAAAAAAAAATTATAAGTATGTCGGGTTGGAATGCAGGGCCGCTGGATTCGAACCCGGGACCTTTACCTTACAGTGATGAACGCCTTTGTGGCCCCCATGATGTTGTTATTACAGTTGTGATTATGTTGGCATACATCAGGCCTTGTAAAAATTTGAATAAAAAAAGAGAATTCTGGTTCCAACAAATATTTTTACTTTCTGTCGGGTTTTCAATCATTTTACAATTTCCAGAAAAACACTTTCTATAAACATGAAATATTAATAATGCTTTTGCAAATTATTGTCTTTACATCGTATATCTTTATCCTCACAAACATTTGTGAAAAAAAGTTAACTTTGATCATATTTCAAGCCTTGACAAAAGTCAAATAAATATAGAGATTCAAATTCCATCCAATAAAGTTTTATTCATTTTAGTGTTGATGTTTTTTCCTATAGAAGAAGAGCAAAAGTATATCAGATATTTTTTTTCCATTCTTATTACTCATTGATAATGCATTATCAAAGTCTCAAATAAATACAGTTTAGAACTAGCTCCATTAAATAAAACCTGTTTTATTATGTTTAGGCCATTGTTTTTATGATAATTTTTTCTCAAAAACACCGAAAAAGTATATTAGTTTTTTCCTCCTGTCAAGATTCAAATAATAAAAATAAAGAATTTAATTATATTCCAGCAAATAAGCAAGCTTACATGTTCATTCGATTAATACATTTTGTCCTCAGAATTGCTGCCGTATTTCAAGGCTTGTCTAATAAGTTATTAATTGCCAAATTAAAATAGAAAATAAGATAATTTCTAGTAAATAAAACAAGATTTTTTACAATTAATATTAAACAAAATTTTAAAATTAAATTAATGACTTAATTTTCTTCGTAAATCTCATCGATGATGCTGACACTGCCAAGAAAAATAAAACTGGATAAAAGTTGTTCTACATCAGTTAGTTTATACATTCATTTTATATTTTAAATAAATTAACATTTAATAATTCGTTATGGATTTCACTATTTGCAAGTGATCTTGATGCTATTTTTGGTTTAATCTTCTGTAGTTACAAGTGATGGGCCATTATTTATTTTGATGAATCATCGTTTTACACAAAAGGTTGTTTTATACGAGGATTGTGACTGTGTTTTGTTCTATTTACAATTCAAAAAAAAAAAAAAACGTTTCATTAAGATCGTCATTAATCGGTTTGATAGGTGTTAAGCTGACGCATTCAGTAAAATATTTTCTTATCAGATACTGCCCGAATAAGTATGAAAACAAGTGCAATCAATGCAGAAGGATAAGATTACCATAATGTGATTTCATTATTGTTTTCAAATATGGATCCATTGAGGGTAAATTTTTGAATCCGTTTCACCATTTGCTGTCTTTTGTACGGTTTCAAAGTTGTACTAACTTTCATGAGATATTTATGTACCCTAGGACATTGTCATGTGATATTCTATTATGCTGACTTTTTTAAATTAATTTATTTTTTTTTTAATTGTGTCGGAATGCACACTTTCCTACCGAGTAGATTGAAGTTAGTTTATTTATGGGCTATCTCGTCAATTTAATTTGCTATCTTCCTATACGAAAAAATTCAGTACACTTTTTAGCTGAGCTGTTTTAATTTTTCAATCGCATCTGGTTATTTTATTTTGTCTTTTTATTATTTTCTGAGATCAAATAGATAAATTTCAATCTTTTTCATTATGCAGCATAAATTGTATTGTAAGTTTTACGTTTTTTCCCCCAAAGTTATATAGATTTAATGCCTATCAGGATTTGGTCAATTTTGTGTTTCTATTTTATTTCCACCATCCCATCCATATCAACAAATATAAACAAGCTTATATCAACAAAACACCTAACTATAAGTTTGGTGTTTTGGGTCAAGCAACACTAATCCTGCTTTTTTCACTTTTTGTAAACAATGGTTCTTCTAATAGATTTGTTGTTTTCAGCAATCCGAATTTTGATCAATAAAGTTCATTTAAACATACCTACCCTACCTTTATTATTTCTATACTAATTCTATGTAGATGCAGCATTCTGGATTTGTCCTAATTCATCTGTGTACTTTTACATTATATTTATATGATTTTTCACACATTAATTCCATGATGACGATTATTGCCTATCATGGATTCAATTAACAATAAACAATTTAATACTTTCCTCATAAGAAAACATAAATATCAGTTGACTTGACAAGATTTGTACAATTCAGAAAAATTTTTGTTCTTTTTAAAAACTTTTATTTATAGACACATTTCTAGGTTTCATTGGAAACGTTTCAAGATTTGGTCATCGGGTTTGTGACATTAAACACTTTTTTAATGTATTGTAACATTTTGTCATCCAAATTTAAAAAAAAAAAAAACAATTCCAACAAAATAAGAAACAATAGAAATGATGAAGTGCAATCAGTATGTAGATTCACTTTTTGAAAATGACAGTTCTACTCAAAGATTTTAAGTAGAAGTAAGATTCAATTTTTAAGCCTCAATAAAAAGGAATTAACAAAAAAAAAATTCTTGGGTTTGTAATTAATTATACATTACTCATCGTATATTCTACATTGCACATTGCATTCCAGTAAAAGCTCAAAATTACTATTAAAGTTAGACAATGATTAGGTTTATGTTTGAAATATTGGGCTGTTATGTTTTAAATAAGAAATTGGTAAATGCTCATATTAAAATTGTGTTATAAATATTTTTCTCTTCTTCTATAAATAGTCCATGTGTGTTATTAATAAAGATTGTTAAAGTTTAGTTAATTCTTGGGAAAGAAATAAACATCTGAACACAGTGTACATTTGTAAATAAGTATTAAACACAGATCAAGTTTCTTTTTAGGTTTTTAGTTGAGATAAAAAAGTCAATGGCACGAGCGAGATTCGAACCCACGATCTTCGGCTTGATACGCCTTGAAAAATGGCAAAAAGGAGGGAAAATTCAAAAGGTGCAGTTGAGAAGGGAAGTTGGTGTCCGAGTGGATCGAGGTCACGATAGCTCAAGTGGTAGAGCAGCAGCGTATCAAGCCGAAGATCGTGGGTTCAAATCTTGCTCGTGCCATTGATTTTTTTATCTCAACTAAAAACCTTAATTAATTGTAATGTATTAATTGGTCAAGCAGACCACGAAATTAGTGAATTTCTGTTTAGATTTAAAAAGAAATTTTGTTTGATGAAATTAAGCAGAGTGCTTACGCAAAGAAACACCCAACAATTATAAAATTCAATTTGAAATTCACCTAAAATAAATTATTTGAATATGTTATGAGGCTTTTGGTATGATTAATAGGAGTAATTGATCAAAAAAATACTTATAGAAACAAAGTTAAGTTGAAAAAACGAACTTCTACTAGGTGTATGACGTGTATGATACATTTACTTCACAAACTAAGACTGGTATCATTCATGTGGTAATTCCACATTAAAGTCACTAGTAGATATATTATACATGGTACATCAATTAAAGGCTAGCATATATACCACAAGTGTGAAATATTTTTTTTATAATTTAATTAGCTGCCGTATGTGTGAAAATTGCACAATCTCATGAGCAGACATAGGACGTATGGAATATGCATCTTTTGCCAGTAGCATACATATTAAAATTGTTTGAACAAATACAATAATCATATATTTTTCCTTTTCTAGAATACATCTATGCTACACTGCCTAGGACTCAAAGAGGCTCTCCAATTGTCCTCGGTGGTGATCCAAAAGGAAAGAACTTTTTGTACACCAATGGCAACAGTGTTATAATAAGGGATATAGATGTAAGTTCCCCTTTATTAAGTTTCTTTGTTAACTTTTTTCTAATTTTACTAATATAATCATTTACAGAATCCTGCACTTTCTGATGTATACACAGAACATTCTTGTAATGTCAATGTTGCCAAATACTCCCCAAGTGGATTTTACATTGCTTCTGGAGGTATTTTATGATTGCAAATTGGAATAATTTGATATATGTATTGATTTGTTTTGTTTAATTTTCAAGATCAATCTGGAAAAGTCAGGATATGGGATACCGTGAACAAAGAGCATCTTTTAAAAAATGAATTCCAACCTATTGGTGGCCCTATTAAAGATATTTCGTGGTCACCTGACAGCCAGCGGATGGTGGTTGTCGGTGAAGGGAGAGAGAGGTGTTAATCTAATCAAATTAAATAATGTAGGGTTTTTGATTTGTTAATTATACATGTACAAATTTTTCTTTAGGTTTGGACATGTGTTCATGACTGAAACTGGCACATCGGTAGGTGAAATCGCTGGTCAGTCAAAACCTATCAATTCTTGTGATTTTAGGCCAGTCCGGCCTTTTAGAGTTATTACCGGCTCAGAAGACAACACCATCGGAGTGTTTGAAGGTCCTCCTTTTAAATTTAAAATGACCAAGAAGGTTTGTGGAATTTAACAATTTATTTGATGTAATTTATTTAAATCTATTTTTGGAAATGGTTCTAGGATCATGCAAGATTTGTTCAAGCTGTCAGATATTCTCCGAAAGGAGATCTTTTCGCTTCTGCCGGTTTTGATGGTAAGGTGTTTCTTTATGAAGGGACCAATGCAGACTTAATTGCTGAAATTGGAAGCCCTGCTCACAAAGGAGGTGTCTACGGGGTAAGCATTTAATCTATAAAAGTCTGGTGTAAAGTGCAAACTTATAGCTCAGTTGATTTTCAGATTGCATGGAAACCAGACGGAACCCAATTTCTTACCGCTTCTGGTGATAAAACGTGTAAACTGTGGGATGTTGAAACTAAAACGGCAATTTCAGAGTTCAATATGGGCTCTCAAGTTGAGGACCAGCAAGTTTCCTGTCTTTGGCAAGGACAACACATTCTTAGTGTTTCACTTAGTGGTTTTATATCTTATTTAGATGTTAATAACCCTGCCGTGCCTATTAGAGTCGTTAAAGTAATTAGCGTTTCAATTAAATTGCAAATCAAGGTGATCAAATTTAATAAAAACACTTGTTTTATTTTTAGGGTCACAACAAGTCAATTACTGTCCTTTCATTAAGTCCAGATAGAAAAACAATATATACAGGGTCTCATGACGGCTACATTACTTACTGGGATGCAAAGACGGGCGAAAACGACAGAATCAGTGGTGTCGGACATGGAAACCAAATAAACGGAATGAAATGCGAGGGGGACTGGATGTACACCTGCGGTATCGACGATTCTGTCAAACAAATCAATGTAAATGCCAAGAGTTACACGTCGGTGGATATCAAACTTGGCGCCCAACCAAGAGGAATGGATGTCAAAAATGATGTCATCATAGCAGCAACTGTTAAAGAAGTAAGTACTGTCTTATTTTTAATTACGGAGATTCCATAATACAACAAACCTGGTTATATTTTATAATATTCACAATGTCATATTTGAACTTTAAAAAAAAAAATTCCTGCCGTACAGGATGGGCTTGTAACCGATCAGTTTTATAGACAAGGGTTCAAACCATTTTACAATATTTTTATCAGATATTTCTCAAATAAAATTCCAAGGGAAATGCTGAAATTTAAACCATCTACACTCAGAATACTAAACACAAACTGGTTAGTGATTCAAATTAATAACCAGTCAGTAAATTGAGTCACTTCCGATGTAACTGAATGAGGCACAGCAGACATTGATTCTGATGCGTTAGGAATCAGTTTCAGGCAACTTTGCAGTCTAGTCACTAGTGACTGAAGTTGCTCAGTTTTGGGTATTTTGAAGATGGATGATCAGGTGAAAATATTATTTGTGAGAGAAGTTGAAAAACGTCCTGATTTATACGTTATGTTTCCTGGATAGTAAAAGAAAAGTGCCTTTGAAAAGGCATGGCATGAAGTTGGAAAAACACGTGAACGGAAAATCTGTAGCAATGATAGTACAGTGATGTGTAATTTGACAGCTTCATCACTGGAAGTATCACTGAATTTCACTGAAGAACCAACTGATTTTGATCTTTTTTGAGTAATAATCACTAGTGTTCCAGTCACAAACCAATTATTATTTTATTTTAAGTAGTTCTTTTTTTTTCTTTTTTTTTTAATTATTATTGGGTTTATGCTGGCATATTACCCATGAAGTTTTCTATTTTAATTTTACTGCCCCGCTGATGGAGGCTCACTATATAGAAGCAGATTTCCTTTGGTGCCAAAAGAACCGTGGTTTCAAGGGGTCAGGGCACCTTGACATTATTTCACCATAATCTCTAGAATACGAAGCAACCATCGTCTGTGGGGAGCACATATGTGTAGAATCGGGCTTAAGGAGTCCCCCAATTGTGTAACATGCGGCTACCCAGAAGATTTAAACCATATAGTAATGGAATGTCCAAGGTTTGAAAACGCAAGAGGTAAACTGCTAAACGGTATTGATGCCCTAACTGATCCGGACAGACCTTACTCTCTTGAGACGCTCGTTCACTCAGGGAACAAGGAAGTGTATGCGCTGCTATTTTGGTTTCTGAAGGCATCTAATCTGAAAATATAACTTTAGATATACAGGATCAACTTTTGTTGTAACTTACCAATAAATGGTGGTGTAGGGGCCGGGGGGAAACGTCGGGTCTCGGCGCCTTATTTACTCGGTTCTCTCTCCATCAATAAAAACTGCATGGCTAATGCCTTAAGGCAAAGTATAAAAAAAAAAATTTACTGTCGAGTGGGATCGGCCAACGAGGACCAGGCCCCCGCTGCGCGCCCGCACCCACTCACTCAGCTCAATCAACTTCTAAATTTTCATGGTTGAAGATAATCAAAAAGTAACATTTATCGACTTTAGAAATCCATAGATTATGTTGAATGCTGATGGATTGTTGCTTAATAGAACAGATTCTAAGTTTATTGGTTTGGATACGTTTGGGACTTTGCTCAGATTTTTTAGCAGTTTATCTCTTTCATTTTCGTATTCTGTGCATTCAAAAATTATGCGGGTAGGATTTGAAGGGCACTCGTAAATGGGACAGTTTGGAGACGATGCCAAACCGATTCTCTTCTTGTAGTTACCCCATAGGACATGATTTGTCTTCAATCTAAAAATAGTAGAATAGAACTCCTTTGACATTCCTTCTGGGCTTTCGCCTTCCGAAAACCATGGTTTTTTCTTGAGCTCAGGGAATAGAGACCTGTAATAATTGCCAACATTTAATGTGTTTATTTTTATTGCCACAGATTTTTACAAAACTTATTCAAAAAGTTTTTCCCATCATCTTTAAGAATTTTAATGTCAAAGATTGGACCTGGTGTTGCAGCCTCCTTTGCAAGTGTGTCCACCGTTTCGTTTTGCCTTAAGCCTGCATGCCCTTTCACCTAACACAATGCCACCCTTTTTCCCATACTTTTTGTCTCTAGCATTTTCCTACAGATTTGGGCAAAAATATAGTTTCTGCATTTATATTCTGGGGTAATGTTCTTTGACCTTTCTACAATGCTTCGACAGTCTGTGAGAATACAAAATTTAGAATCACCCAATTTTCGTATGTAATCGAGAGCGCTATCTATCGCAATTAGTTCTGCTGTATAAACAGACTTGAAGTTAAAAGCGAATGTTGTTCCTTGTATTGATGTTTAGGGACAAAAAAGGCATAACCTGTTTTACCATCTATGGAAGAGCCGTCAGTAAATACGTACACATGTTCTGGATATATCTCGTTAATGTCGGCTAGGAATTCTTTTTGAGCAATATGAGGATTGAGCTGGGAATAATCTTTAAAAAATGTTGTGTCAAAATTGTTAATTAGCCCCTCGTACTCCATCTGATTCATGGGGTCCACAGGGCTTTTTAAAAGGGAGTAGATGTAAGGAACCGACTGGAGGAAGGCCAACCAGGGCAGGATATTTCTTTTTTTGGTAAAAGGCTGAAGTTAGAACTTTTTCAGTGTATTTATTTCATTAAATGTAGGATTTTCCTGACAAAAAAAGTTTGATAAGGAAGTTGAACGCTAATTTTAAGCCCCTCATTTCCAGAGGGGGCTCACAGGCTTTGGCTTCTAACACTATGGATTACCTTAATATAATATTTTGAAGTTTTCCTAAGTTTTTTAATATTATTCTCTTTCCAGGTTGTTGTCATAAAAGATAATAGAAAAGTCAGTAGCACTCCAGTCGACTATGAACCTTCTTGTGTTTCGATTAACCCCGAAGAGCAGTATGTTGCAGTTGGTGGAACCCAAGATAACAAGGTATGCATAATTTATTGTTACTCTATGTATTTACTATTATTATTAACTCAATATATAAATTATATCCGTTGTTATTTTCTCAGGTTCACATTTATGAACTGAATGGGACCCAGCTAGTCGAAAAGACTACTTTGGAACACTTAGGCCCAGTAGCAGACTGTGCATTTTCTCTTGATGGTAAACATCTAGTCGCTTGTGATGCAAATAGAAAAGTGATACTTTACAAAGTCCCAGAATTTCAGGTATGTACTAATTTATTAATGCAAAAGAAAATTTATTATAACATTCAAATTCACTAATTTCGTGGTCCGCTTGACCAATTAATATATTACAATTAATTAAGGTTTTTTTTTAGTTGAGATAAAAAGTAAATAAAAAAAAGTTTAAAAAAAAAATGGCAAAAAGGAGGTAAAATTCAAAAGGTGGGGTTGAGATGGGAAGTTAGTGTCCGAGTGGATCGAGGTCACAATAGCTCAAGTGGTAGAGCAGCGGCGTATCTAGCCAAAGATCGTGGGTTCAAATCCCGCTCGTGCCAAACGTTTTTATCTCAACTAAAAAAAACCTTAATTAATTGTAATTTATTATAATAGTTTTTAACTTTCATTTTTGTATAATGATTTTTACAATATGATCTTAATTTTTTAATGCTTGCTTGACTGTATATTAGACTGTGAGTATTAGGAATATTAAAGAAAAAGTTAAATATAATAATAATTGTTATAATTATAAATATTTTGTTTTAATGTTTTGAAACATCTTTTAGCTGGCTCATAACAAAGAATGGGGCTTCCACAATGCGAGGGTTAATTGCGTAGCTTGGTCTCCAAATTCCCAGCACGTTGCGAGTGGGAGCCTTGACACTTCAATCATCATTTGGAGTGTTCTCCATCCGGCCAAACATACCATTATCAAAAGTAAGCTTAAGAGAAATTATTTACTAGATATAAATGTTGTTATAAATGTTATAAACTTCATCGTTATAAACTTGTTTTCTAGATGCTCATGCCCAGAGCCAGATCACGAGGTTGGTCTGGTTGGATGACGAGACGTTGGTGTCTGTTGGACAAGACTGCAACACCAAGATTTGGGAAATTGCACCCATATCTTAACCACCATTTGCATTATCCTAATTATATTTAAGAAATATTTATTAAACATAATTAAGAAGAAAGAATTCATGATAAGATTTAACGCGACAGAAAACTGTAACTTTTTATTTTTTTCTTGTGATTTTAACATAAGGTTGATTTGAGCTTATTTTCCATTTTATTTTATTTATTAAATTTTTTTTAAGCCTTAACTAACAAGATTTTTTTTAAACTGCTTTTTGTTCTACAACACAGCAATTTTGACATTGGTGCTAAATTTTATTCAGTTCGCCTTTCAGTTTGATTAGTTTTTCAAAAGATTTAATCGCACCAAAGTTTTTCTCACGGGGAGATTTTAGTTTATTAAGTTTTCAAATTAAAATTAAGAGCAACAACCTAGTCTATTTTCACGTTTTGTTTATTGAAAAGTTTTCAAGCATTTATCTATTGAGTTCCTTTTTGACTTATATTTTTGTACCCTTAGGGTTAACATTTTTTGTTAGAAGGAAATTGTGCAACATTTCCTTTTCTTCAGCTCAATCAAATTTCGATTTTGTCATAATAATCAAAAGAAAGGGTTGGCCAAACTAAAAGTATTCTTTATCTTTTTTAACAAACGATAGATGGTACTCTTAATAGTATTAAGGTAAAACTATTTTTTGTCTTCTATTTTGAAAAAAAATATACAATTGAAAATTATTTATCAAAAAATATATCAACTTGTTATCCAATTTATATATATTTTTTTTACTTTTTGCCAATGAATGGATTCATATATACAGGGGCAATATTTATTTATATGCATTTTAATACATACTTATACATGTGATTTGTGTCTTATTTGTCCGAGTATTCTTTCCCTTTACATTTATTTAAAAAAAAATTCCATTATGGGAAATTATTAGAACTTACGTATGTTATGAGAATATGAATAGAATATTAAAAACAGATCAGTATCAAAGGCATTGTCTAAAAACGTACACCGACGTAAATATCAGTCAAAACAAGGAAGGTAGCTTACATGCGCTATTTTGGTCTAATGGAAGTCCTAGGATGTTGTGTCCGATTTTTGAACAACAGTCAAATCTTGAGAATATATCATGCATCTATGGTGTATCCCTGAGGCCGGTGGTGAACTGTACAGTCCGAAAAATCCTGAAGTGAAAACATTTTGGTTTTTGACCAAAGGATTAAGGAGGTATGGAAACATTTTCTCCCCCAATTTGATTATGGATGTGTTGTGTATGGGTCTAATGGTTTTGTACATTTTATCTTTGGCTATCCCAGAGGTGATTGATCTATAGACCAATTTGAAGTGGTTAATACACTTCCAACTGTAAGCATTACTTCCTTGACTTAGACATAGAGGTTTTTTTTTTAATTACAAATTTTCCCCTAACGCTACCTAGCATTGTTAAAATCAGCTTTGCCAATCATGCAAGAGAAAAAAGTTACTTGTCCTTAGCTTCTTCCTTTATTAGATATCTTCCCATTCCCTTCCCTACATACAGGGTGAATTGCTACTCGTGCTACAAACTTCTCCAGTAGATTCTTCACCCTAAAATGAACAAAAAAGTTCATATTGTCCATGGTCCGATTCTCAACCATTTCAGAGTAATTTCGCTTTTTATCGATTTTGAAAGATATCACGTCCTGGCGTCGGAAAATCGTGATATCTTTTAATCTAAACATTTCTCTTAAAATCTATAAGCACCGTTGAAATCCCCGTTAATTTTTAGAGAGAATCAAAATCATAATTCCATTGAAATTTTTTAATTTAATTTAATGCCCATTTAGTATGTAATGCTTAAGAAGTTTACAAACAGCTAGAAGGTCAAGGAAGAAAGACCCAAACGTTTTGCCACCTTCATCTTCTTATTGAAAAATTAACGGGGATTTCAACGGTGCTTATAGATTTTAAGAGAAATGTTTAGATTAAAAGATATCACGATTTTCCGACGCCAGGACGTGATATCTTTCAAAATCGATAAAAAGCGAAATTACTCTGAAATGGTTGAGAATCGGACCATGGTCAATATGAACTTTTTTGTTCATTTTAGGGTCAAGAATCTACTGGTGAAGTTTGTAGCACGAGTAGCAAGTCACTCTCAAACATTAGCAATCCTTGAACCACCATTTTTTCTCTTTTTGTCATCAACATCTTGGTCTCACAACCACTAAATAAGAAAATGACGAGTGCGTTGGAAGCGTTATTAAATCAGGTAGTTTTCCTCAAATTTGCTGCCTTCTGAGACTAAAATTAGAAACTCTGGATTACTTTATACACTTTCCGATTTACACAATTTTCCACTCTTTTTGTAGTTCTGGCTGAAATAAAACACAAAAAATTAGCCCAAACATTTTGCCACCGTCATCTTCTTATTGAAAAATTAACGGGAATTTCAACGGTGCTATTAGATTTTCAGAGAAATGTTTAGATTAAAAGATATCACGATTTTCCGACGCCAGGACGTGATATCTTTCAAAATCGATAAAAAGCGAAATTACTCTGAAATGGTTGAGAATCGGACCATGGACAATATGAACTTTTTTGTTCATTTTAGGGTGAAGAATCTACTGGAGAAGTTTGTAGCACGAGTAGCAATTCACCCTGTATATGATCATCTTACCTTCAGATCCCGTGTACCTCCTGTCAAATTCACTTTGGCCTTTCTGACCTCTTTACTCCTAAACACAGAACTGCTACATCAGTTGTTCCTCCCTCATCCATGCTCTATGGAATTCCCTTCCTCACTTTATCTACCGACCCCAATCCCTTGCCATTTGTCTCTTTGATTACCTTTTCTGTTATAACTTGGCACCAAAAAACTTAATTGCCCTTTTAATTTCAATAGTGGAAAAAAGAAGGGCAATACATTCTTTAAACGGTCATCTTTGTATTGCCCTATCAGGCTTGAATCTCACAAAATACATTGTACTATAATTTATCATTTAAGGAGACTTCAAAGTTAATTTAATTTTTTAATAAAAGAAAAAAAAGATTCGTGATGAGACCGGCCGTTTCTCCACATCAAGGTTTATGGCAAGATTAACTACTAATTTTACATGTACTGAAGGGGAGAAGCAGCAATCTGGGAGATGGGCTTTCAGGACAATCCTAAGGTTCTTGACAATGGAAAAGAAAAGAATAAGTGGAAGTTTTTTGGGAAAACCAACCAATACTTAGGTATTTTCTGCACAATATGTGCTCAGGTTCAGTTGAGGATTTCTTAATATGCATTGAGTATCTTAAGAATTGATTGACTGATTAATATTTTATTTATATTGCAGAATAAACGTGAAAAAAGGACTTGGTAAAAAAAAAGTGTGATAATGTCTTTACTGTAGCTGGTTTAATGAGAAGTGCCATGCTGCTAGGAAGGTCAGGTCAGTTAGTAAAAGTAGACGAGGTAAAAATAAAAATAACTTTATTTTAATCGAATTTTTTCCAAGTGGGATGTAAAATGAAATTTGAATGAAATTGATAGTTATACTACTTGATCCGGTATTTTTATTCTGTACAATATTATTTCATATCCATTATATTTAGTGTCTGATTGACCAAATTATTTCTTTCAATTAATTAAAAAATGGCAAAAGGAGGGAAAATTCGAAATGTTGTAGGTTGAGATGGGGATTTGGTGTCCAAGTGGACCGAAGTCACGATAGATCAAGTGGTTAGAGCAGCGGCGTATTGAGCTGAAGGTCGTGGGTTCGAATCCCGCTTGTGACACGACTTTTTTATATCAACCAAGACCTTACACAAAAATGTTAATTATTCCGTATTACAAATTTTGTCACTGACAATTGCAAAATTCTTTGAGCAATCTTTAAAACATAAAACATTCCTCAGTAGAACAGTACAGTTGAAGAATTTGAATATAAATATCCAAATACTGAATGCCCATTGCTCAGATGGGACACAAAAAAAGATGGTGCACATTTACCGATTGGGCTGATCATTTGGATAGCTTCACAAATGATTAAATATAAAAATGAACTGGCTTGATTCGTTTTTAACTCATTAAGAGCATTTCTCTTGTACAAGTGAGTGTTTTAATATTTACATCGGAGTGCATTCAAGACTACAAAAGTCAATTATTTTACCATAGTCATATTTACATGTAGATAAATCTAGCTTTGTAAATGTAAAAAAAAACACTGATTTCATAAACATATTTTCCTATCAAATTACAGCAATAGCTTAATATAATATTAATTATTACTGTTGTAAATGAAAAAAAATATGATTGTATAACTAAATACATATGTTAGTCTAATCAGTAAGCCCAGACACAAATTGTTATTTGTTTTTTTTTTATTTTTAGTTTATCAAAGGGAATTTTGAAGCTTTTAAAAAGAAATCTAACAAAGCAAAATGAGCGATGAGAGCCTTCATTCACAGAAGGAAAATGACCAGGAGAACAAGGATGGGCAAAGGAGGCGTAGTTCGTCGGAGAATCCTTCTGAAAACAACACGTCTGACATGAATCTCCCGCCAACTGCTGTTGCACGACTGACCAAAGAGTGAGTTCAATCACGTGAATTTCCTACAATCCTTATAAATTGTTTTTTCTTTACAGGTATGTGACCAACTATAACATAGGAAATATGTCAACAGCATACGAATACCTCGGTCTTCGCTTCATCCCATGTGTCATAACATTCAACAACGTGTACGTCGGCCAGATCTACACTGTTGAATTGTGCGTCCAGAACATCTCCTGCAACATTACTCAATTCCGCTTCAAACAACCGTTTTCACGAGTACGTTATTGGTTTAAATTTTTAATTTTAAAACTTTCCTGAATCTTTTTTTTTTCTTTTGTAACTGTCGTCTGAAATCTAAAACTACATTGTACAACACATGTTAATTATTTGAAAAAAAGCATATGATAAAAGTAAAAAATATGGTAAAATATTAAATGAACAAAATGAGTGCTATTGCTTATAGTTAGTCTTTTATAAATAGATTTTTTAACTTGTATTTGTATATAAATAAGTACTTTTTACAAATATTATAAACTTTACTAGGCATGATCAAGCTGTCTTCAAGGAAATTTATATAAAGAATTTTTACAGGGAGATTGTAAATTCAGAAATTAATGTCTGAAGTATCAGACTTGGGCATTATTAACTAAAAATTAGTTGAACTAAACTCTCAACTAAAAACTAATAGTTGCCAAGTAGTTGCAACTAAATTTGTCAACAAAAGTAGTTGACAGTTTTTAGTTCAACTAAATTAGTTTAGTTGAATGGGAAACTAAAACTAATTTAGTTGAGCAGATTTAGTTAAACTAAAAACAAACTGTTAGTAAACAACTAAAACTTTTCTTGAGTTTTTAAACTAATTTAGTTCATCAATTGAGTTTTTAAATTAATTTAGTTGACCAATTTAGTTGCGTTTTTGTTGTATGTACATGTGAGTGTGTCTGTGGCATTCTCCGAAACCAATGATTGCGTCTTCCGTCTTGTTCAAAAAAAAGTTCTGGTTGTTAGTTGAAAACTAAAACTAACAGTTTGTACTTTTTGGTTCAACTAAATCTGCTCAATTAAATTAGTTTCAGTTTCCCATTCAAATAAACTAATTTAGTTGAACCGTTGTCCTGTTTATCACGTAAATTCAGCCAAAAGTGGGAACTATAGAAATTGTAAATTGGGTCAACTGCAAGAAAGGGTTGGCATGTAAACTAGGCCAACTAAACAAATGGTAATGGAGTCAAAGCTCCAATTGGACCAATTACTATGTGCAACTTATTGAATAGGGTTGGGTTAATAAGAAAAGGGAAAGTATTGGTCCAGTTTATTACCGCCCCTTTTATGTTACTTATGTTGCCCGGCTAAAGTTCAATGTTTTTATCATAGAGATAATGGCGAAGGGCAAAGGTGGTGTTCATACCGAAAATAGGGAAAAGAGACCCTACACTACCCAAATCCCACAGGCCAATCAGCTTCATCCTTTCTACTGAAAGCACTTGAAAAGCTGATAACCATATAAGAATGACAGCACTGGTAGACAAACCACTACATCACTGTCAACATGCATACAGAGCAGGAAGATCAACAGAAACTGTTCTGCACCAGTTAACTAGTGACCTAAGGGAAACACTAGGAAGGGGGGAAACACAAGGGAAACAGCAATCTGCGCGTTCCTCGACATTGAAGGAGCTTTCAACAATGCATCTCACGCATCCATGAAGATCTCTAGAGAAAAACACGTAGACCAGACCATATCTAGATGGATTGAAGAAAGAACTAGAACAGCTGATAGAAATATAGGAACAGACACTATACAAGTCAGCACAACCAAAGGAAGTCCTCAGGGCTGGGTACTGTCACCTCTAATATGGATCCTAACATTTGATGAACTGCTCAAAACCCTGGACCGTAAAGGGATAAGGTGTCAGGGCTATGTGGATGAAATAGTCCTGACTGCCAGGGGAAAATTCGAGGAAACTCTCTGTCATAATCACAGAAGAGTGGTGTAAAACCCTAATATCACCTAATAAAACAACCATTGTCGCTTTTACACGGAAAAGAAAACTGGATCAAATGAGACAAATAACACTCAATAACTCTGTGATTGAAATAAAAAAAGAGGTCAAATATCTAGGCATCACAACACTGTCATTTAAGAAACACATCGGCTCCACCATTATGAAGGCGACACGAGCTTTTATGGTGTGCAGAAGAATAGCAGGGAAGAACTGGGGATGTATACCGGAAAATGTGTGGATGTACACCATGATGGTAAGATCTATACTTACATAAAGATACTGCCGATAAAGCAGAACAAGTATCTAAAAGAAAAGAATTCACAAAAATGCACGCATGTGTATAACAGGAGCAATGAGAACATGTCCCACAGTTGGTATGGAAAAAAATATTGGGATTAATCCCCCTAATCACGTGGTAATGAGGACAGCACAAAAAACAATAATTATTCAGATATCGTGAGATGCGGTCGGGTAGTCGAAATGAGAAGTTTGTGGCATGGGCGATCGAAGTCACGGTAGCTCAAGTGGTAGAGCATCGGTGTATTTAGCCGAAAGTCGTGGGTTCGAATCCCGCCTGTGACACAAATTTTTCATTTTGGAAAAAAATTGTGTATAATTAATTGAGTAATTATATATTTAATAGAAGCTGATTAAATTTAGAATTATAGTATCATTAAAAAGAAATCTTCAACAGGAATAAAACTCAAACGGAGAGACAGCAACAAAATAATGAAGGACCGTCCAATGCTCATGGCTCCAAGAGACGACATAAACAGGATGTTTGAATTCAATCAAAACTTCCAACTAAAGTACCAAAAAAGAATGGGAATGAGAGGAAAATACCTCCTTTAATTATAGCACCATCTTTTGTACACAGACAGATCTAGTACACAGGAAGGTCCAGGGCTAGGAGTTTTCAGTCCTGGAACCAAATACTCAGAACCCATGGGAAAATACACCAGTATCTTCCAAGTTGAGGTTCATGCAGTCAAGAGATGTACTCAATTCAACTTGACTAAAGGGTACAAAAACAAGAACAAATGTGTGGTGATTAGTGACCATCAAAAAATAATTATTCAGGGCACTCTCAACACGACATGCACGAATGGCACAATTACACAGAAGACAAACACTTTGAGCCCTGAAGATGATCTCAATAAAGATCGAAACGTTGGAACAAAAAGAAAATGTTTTTCTGAAACCTACATCACACCAGACCGCATCTCACGATTTCTGAATAAACAAGAACAAAGCTATCATGTCAGATAGCCAAACAGCCATCAAAGCACTAATCTCAAATATCATTAGCTCATAAATGATGTTGAACTGCAAAACCAAATTAAACTTATTAGGTATGTAGAACTAGGTCAGCCCCTGCTGGGTCGGAGTACACATGGGAATAGAAGGCAACGAGAAAGCAGACACCCTTGCAAGGAAAGGGGCTGCTACAATGCTGATAGGACCTAAACCCTTCTGTGGCATAGGAACCCACATTACCTCAGGCAGAAGGACAAAAAGAAAATAAGGAACAATGGAATTCACTCAATAGACACAGACAATCCAAGACAAATGTCGGAAGGAAAGAAGTTACAGAATGTCTCAAAAGGAAGCAGGAATACACCGCGAATCCTAACAGGATTCTTGACAGGACTCTGCAAGCTAAATGAACTTAAAGAAGATTGGAATAATCCAAGACGGCACATGCAGATTCTGCAACGAGGCAGAGGACACACCAACACACCTACTAACAAATGTAGTGCTAGACTCGCCCACAGGAGGAACTGCTTTGGGATGTACAATGTGACCATAGAAGAGATTCAACCACTGAAACCGGGCCTATTAATCAAGTTCCTTGATGAAATAGGACTCACCGGTGTGCATAATATACAATAGCTCTTAAAGAGCGCTGTATATTACATCCCAACTTACAATATATCTACATCATAGTGATAAGAAACAAAATACAAATATACCTTATGGTCATGTATTTCATATATGAATGTGAGTCGGCCGTTCAGTTTCTGGCACCCACAAAGGGCAGTAATCAGCCACGATCACTTTTTCAGCCATCATTCAATGTCAGTCAGAACATGCATGGACCAGGAGAATCTGACTGCCTATTTATTATAGCACATATTATTTTGGCTGATATATGTATATACAAGGTGAGTCATTTTTTGACGCACCATTGGAAAATCAACATGGGTGCGTTTAAATCTGATTCGAGGCTCATTTATTTTGATTAATGCATTAATAAAAGAAAATTAGTCAATTTTTGGTGCACCATTGGAAAATCAACATTGGTGCGTCTAATTATGACTCGGCACATTTTATTTTGTTAGTCTCATACCAAAAAATAGACGTCACTTTTCAACACACCATTCGTTACAAATTAGTTTTAGTAGGTTGGAAGGAAAATAAACCAACATTATTCAAACACAATGTAAAAATTTAAAAAAAAATTCTTCACAAATTAATTTTATTAAGGTTTAAGAGTATTTTTTCATCCAATCATCGTTTTACGATAGACTAAGCTACTGTGTTGCATCAAATGGAGGTCTGTTCGAACAATTATTATACTGATTTTGAACATTTTTGGTTTGCTAACAAAAGAGATTGTTACATTTATTTAATTTTTTTTACTTTACCAGAAAAAAGGAGATTGTTACATTTATTTAATTCTTTCTACTTTACCAGAAAAAAGGAGATTGTTACATTTATTTAATTCTTTTTACTTTACCAGAAAAAAATACTCTTAAACCTTAATCAAATTAATTTGTGAAGATTTTTTTTTTAATTTTTACATTGTGTTTGAATAATGTTGGTTTTGTTAATTTTCCTTCCAACCTGCTAATTTGTAACGATTGGTGCATCAAAAAGTGACTCGCCTATATTTTGGTACAAGACTAACAAAATAAAATGTGCCGAGTCATTATTAGACGCACCGTCAATTTTCCTATGGTGCATCGAAAATTGACTCACTTCCTTTTTTTAATGTTAAAATCAAAAGAAATAGGTCTTGAGTCAGATTTAAACGCACCACGTTGATTTTCCAATGGTGCGTCAAAAAATGACACCCTGTATATTTTAATATAATTGTAATAAATGTAAAGTGTGTTTGCTCAAAATTTACTGACTTCTCATTTTTCCTTTTCCTTTTTTAATTTGATTTCAGTCTTATTCTATTAACGATAATGGAACAACAAAAACTCTAGCACCTGGTTTAGTTTTAACAAAGATAATAACATACAAATGTACAGAAGGTTGTATAACTGATTCAGTCATAACGGTTGTTGTTGTGAATGAGGAAATACATCTGCCCATAAAAGTGTAAGTTGTTCTCTTTAGAGATTTTTGTTGTAATATTGTTGTGAATTTAAAAAAAAATATATATATATTTTAGATTCAAAGGAGAACCCAAGGTTTTAGTAATACCAAGTTCAATAGATTTCGGAAGACTTGACATCGGTTGTCCTTACGTCACTAAAGAAATTCTGATAATCAATCAAGGATCTTGCGTTACAAAAGGATCTATAGACCTGGGGAAAAATGAGCTTGGATTGGTTGTTTCAAGAAAAAATTTCCAAATAGCTCCTTATAAAAGAATTAAAATTAAAATACAACTCGCAGGTTTAGTTGTGGGTCAACACAGTTCGGAATTTTGGTACAATAAGTCCATATAATTTATCAAATATAAATATAAATGTTTTTGCTAAAAATAAAATCATTTAAAGGGTAAAATCAGCTCCTTCGCATAGAATAGAAGTCAAAGTCAAAGTGGTTTTTCCATATTTCAAAGCTCTTCATCCTAATAGTACAGGAAATTTTACACTCATTGATTTACAAGGTACATTTCCTGGAGCAAAACGTTATGAAACATTAATCGTGAGAAATGTTTCGTCTTTTGATGGTGTATTTGTTACTTCAGCAGAAGCGAATGACTCAATTATTGTAATTTATTCAGTAGTTTATTTCAATTGGATAAATAATAATCTTCTCTATTATTTTACAAAAATATGCAGTCATTAAAAGAAGCAGAAGAAATAGATCAAAGTTTTAAATCGTTTTCCGTATATCCAAAAGAGGGAAACTTGTTACCCTTTGAGGGAAGGATATTTACCATTTGGTAACTGGACACCTTTTATATTTTCACTTAAACATTATTTTCTTAATTTTGATTTTATTCATGTAAGGTTTGATCCAAAATTTGTTGAACAACAAAAAGGCTGGATCAGTGAACAAAGAACAGAACAGTATTTAGTTTTTGTAAGAATCCAAAGAGTGGATGTTATGTTTGGAGCCCATAAAGGTAAAGCAAAACAAGTTCGATTATAAAAACTACATTATTCTCCATGTTTAATGTTTTATTAAACAGTTATTTGCCGTTTTATTCAGGAGAATTTGAAGAAAACAGTGATGTTGGAAACCAACTGCCTATAGTTGAAGAAAATAACGTCACTGACGATGAAGTACCACTGGCAGAACAAAAAAGCCTAACAAAATATCATACTGATGGTAATTATAAATACGAAGAGCCCAAAGTTATCAAGCCCAATGCAATTCAATTATTATTGTTCCAATAATTTTTTAGAAGGTGTTGAATTAGAAAAAGATAGTGAGACAATGATGATCGATGATGGTTCCATAAGGCTTTGCCTCTATGGAGTCGGAGTGCAACCGACTCTGAAGATTGTCCCAAATGAGCTCATATTTGAAAATGTTCTACCTGGAACAGAGCACAACAAAGTACTCACTCTTACAAATATGTCAACCGGTTTGTCAATGGGTTTCAGATATTTTAAGATACCGTCCATCGAAGTTAAACCAAACTTCCTATTTCTTAAATACAAACAGTCAGTAGAAGTACTCGTAACTCTAATCCCTGGAAACTTAAGTAAAAGTTTGATAATTAATCGTTTATATTTGCAATTTATGATTTATACTTATATACATTTTTAGATTTAAAAAACAAAAGTTTAATTTTTGAACTTTTATCCCATGCAAATCACACAGACAAGACGAATACTATAGTCGTTGGACATGCTAAGGTCAAATTGAATATCCATGCTGTGACACCAGCAATACAACCGCAGCCAAAAATTAATGAAGGTATTCATTGTTGCGTTATATTATACTAAGTTTATTTAGGTTGAACAGTCATGAAATGTTCAAACTTTAGTTATATTGTTGTTAAAATAGACAAATTAATATGTTTTATCATTCATTAAGATAGCATAGTATTCTTCTCTCTTTTTTTTTTCACTTTTGTAAATTTTGTGAGTAGTAATTATTTACAAGTTATTTTGTAAAGTAGTAAACCAAACCTTTCTTCAATGCCTTAGTTTTTTTCACTCCACAGAAAACTAGAGTTCTCCTTGTTAAATCCCTAATAATTCCTTTATTCTCTTACTGTAGCGGTATTTTTTCAATTTCCTTAGACTCTCAATCTGCTCATCGCTTTCAAATTGCTTATCATTCCTGTATTAGATACTGTTATGATCTTAAACAGGGGGTCATTTTTCTTCCTACGTTAATGTCTTCAGCAACTTTAACATTCTAAGCACTTACAAACAATTTTTAGAGATCGTGAGATACGGTCTGGTGTGATGTAGGTTTAGAAAAACATTTTCTTTATTGTGCCAACATTTTTCTAAACCTACAACCGAGTGACAAAATTATAGATACATTAAAAAATCACGATTTCTACAGTCAAAAATGATTTCTTTTGCCATTAGAATATTGTTCATGATATTAAAAGAAAATTAACTCTGGAAATGGCTTGATCTGATAACCTTATAAAAATGTACATCTCAATGAACAGTATTGTTTTGATTTAGCTGCAAATTTTAGACACACATTTTGTTTACGTTTATTTTATAACTTCAAAGGTTTATTCAGTAATCACTGTACCGTGCCTTAGTAAAGTGATTACTGAGTGTTCATTTGGAGCAAAGTTAATTTAAAATGCCCAAAGAAAGAAGATTTTCTGATGAGGAGCGCCAGTTGATTCACTTGCTCAATGAAGATGAAATGAGCAGCTGAGATATCGCCCGATGCATAAAACGAAGTTTTTCATCGGTATCAAAGATAATACGACTAGGTGAAGACTATGGAAGAGGGCATGGCTCTGGAAGACCTATTTCCTTGACCAGAAGAGACAAATCGCACGTCCTGCGCATTGCTTCAAACAGCTTTTCAACTGCAAAAGCCATCGCAGAGAAGGCAGGTATTGATGTTTCTGTTCGAACTATTCAGAGATTCCTTAAAAAAACTGAAAACATAGTCCGAAGAAAACTGAAACGCAAACCAGCTCTGAAACCCTACCACAAACTAGCCCGTGTCAAATTTGCTGAAAACCACATTTTGAAAAATGAAGATTATTGGCGAAAAGTTATTTTTTCTGACGAAAAAAAATTCAATTTGGACGGCCCCGATGGATACGCATACTATTTTCATGATCTAACTAAAGAAGAAAAAATTTTGTCACGGCGCCAAATGGGTGGTGGATCTTTGATGATTTGGGGGTGTATTAGGTGTAATAAACAAGGGAATCTTTGTTTTCTTCCAAAAAAAGTCAATTCGGAATATTATAAGAAATTACTAGACAAAGAAAAAACTAGTTTCAGCGATTTATGCGAAAGGACTCCAATATTCCAGCAGGACAAAACACACTATGCAAAAATCGTTAAATAATGGTTTTCACAGAACGGCAATTGAAAAACTTGAATGGTCTGCACTCTCACCAGACTTGAACATTATAGAAAATGTATGGGGAAAATTATCGAGGATGGTATATCAAGACTGTAAGCAGTACAACTCTGTTGACAAACTTAAAACAGCTGTCACCACTGCCTGGAACAATTTGCCTCAAGATTTTATTCAAAATTTGTACAAAACCATTCCAGAAAGATTACTGGAAATAATAAAACTGAGTGGTAATGCCACAAAATATTATAACCTTGTTTTAAATTGATTTTATCCCATGTGTCTATAATTTTGACGCAGACAGAATTGTTTAATTTTAGTATTTTATTAATTTTTTCTCTTATTTACTGAAAAATTAAAGTTTAATAAGAAAAATATTTATTTCATGTGTTTTGAATAAATATTTGTAGTCCAAACCCATTACATTAAAAAATCATAACAATTAGGGGTGTGTCTATAATTTTGTCACTCGGTTGTACATCACACCAGACCGCATCTCAAGATCTCTAAATAATCATTAATTAACGGTCACTAAATAAAACACACACACATAAACTTTGAGTTTCAATATATATATTTAAAATTTAAATCAAATAAATGTCCTGAATGAACTATTTTCCTTTATTCCTTATCCAAACGCACCAATCATATCTCAAGCCTTCAACATTCCTCTAAACCTTTAGCCTTATCCTTCAGAATTGCAGGGTCAAGAGGGACAAGACTATGGAATTTGCTTCCCCAGGAAGCATGTTCTACCTCCTTGCTGGCTTGATTCAGCTCCAGGGCATCTGAGTTTTTAAAACCCACATGAATCATCTCCTTTTCTTCTTCCCTCTTCCTTTTCTTTTTTCTCTTTCTGCTTTTCTTTCGTAATCGATTATAAATAGTTTATATTTTATTGACTATATTATTGTTTTGTATATGTAATTATATTTTTTATTATTATAATTGCTGTATATTATTACTTTACTATTGTATGGAGATCGAAAGATGCGGTCTGGTAGACTTACTAGTTATACTACTTAATCTTTAAAATAAATAAACCATCATTTACAAAAATCGAATCTACATACTCCCCCCTTTTTTTTCCTTATTGGCCTGATAACCAAAACACACTTTCCACATAATTGACTAAATCATGATCAAACTAATTATCAAATAATTTTATTTTTACTGGAATATTTTTCTAAAAGTAACAAAATTACATCTTTACATGCTTAAACTTTCCTATTAAATTAACACTTCACTGTAAACTAGAGCGTGAAATAACATTTTCCGTTAGAATAATTGAATAATTAAAATGTTAAAAAATATAAACATTGATTTTAGACACGACTGTACATAATTTTTGTCTAATTATCGCCCCAAAGAAATTTACCTTTTCTATATGAGATGAATATACTGGATTGACATCAATAGGTTTTATCTAAAATATTTTTTTTTAATATATATATATATATATATAAGAATGGTTTTTTTTATATCATTGATATTTTCTTTTAACTATACTGATTTTTTTTTTTGCAATTCACAAATTTTAAAAATTTACAAATAAAAAGAATAGATAAAAAAGCTAGTGATTTTATTTTAAAATAGAATTTTAAGAAGTACAAAGGCTTTATAATTCACACTTTATTCTTTAATCTTTTTAAAAAGATAGTTCCTACTCCTCAGGGTGCCGGTGTTTTTGAAAAGCCCATTTGTAAGTATGTCAGGTTCGAATGCAGGGCCGCTGGATTCGAACCCGGGACCTTTACCTTACTTACAGTGATGAATGCTGTGTCAACGCCTAAACCATTATGGCCACCAATGCTCCCTATTATTTCTATTTCCCTTCTATTGTGGTGATACTGGTTGCAGTTAGACTTTCTTTTTTTACAACAGCATTATCAAAATTAATAAACTATAAAATATATAAATATAAACTAAATTTATGTACATGTAAGGGGGCTTAAAGCCCTTAGCATTAAAATATAATACTCTTCTTTTTTTATTTTGACCTAAGAATAAATCCTCATAATGTGTGTTTCTTACTGACTTGTTGTTTCATAATTTGTGAAGTCGGGAGGAGCAGTCAAGAATGAGGCGACACTATTTCAACAAATCCTCATAATAGTTGTTTATTTTTATGGCTTATTTTTTTATGTGTTCAATGCTTTTCAATAGATTTTGGAAAGGTATTATTTTAGGTGTTCTTTATGATAACAAAAATGTAATGTTATGTATACATTTTATGTATGCACAAATAAGTACACTCTTTACATGCTGCCTTGACAAAGACAAAATTATCTGGTCTTTTTCATATCCATACTTAAATTTCTTCATATCTCAATATAGTTATGTACATGTTCCATGTGATTGTAATATTGAATATGTGAGTAACCTAATTGATCCAACCAATTACCCACTTACAATTATTCACATAAACATTAGCTTTTCAGGCATTTTGGTATATTTTTAATTTGTCTCTGAAATTCCAGGCTTGACACCAAAATTATTCGTTGAAGCTGGTTCACATGTTGAAATGATAAAATACAACAGTCCAATAAAATTTCCCAAGTCTCTTGTCATTCCACCTTCAGAAACTCGCCCTTGGCTTAACAGTGAGGCGAGAATTGTTTTGCCAAATGAAATGGGACGAATAAGACCATTATCAAGCGATAAAACTGCCAGGTTAAAAATTAATCAACTTTTCACATGAATATATTTAAAAGAAGTCGTCATTCGATACAGGACAATATTCACTGGGCTACCTCGATATTTAAAACCACCAAATTGGAACTACAGGAGAACCCAAAAAGAAGAGGAATTCAGAAATAAAGAGATTAAATTGTGGCGGGATTATTTCACAAAGACCGGAGAGAAAGCGAAACAGGTCATAAAAAACAAAGAACCCTCACCGATTGAAGAATATTCTGTTACAAACTTAAAGTAAACATACCCCATAAAATGTAGCATTGCATTTCATAATAAAACTTTAAACCTTCAGGCTTTACAATATGATTGGCATGATGCCGCCAATCGAGGAAGAAGAAAGATCAATTTCTATTTGCCAAAACAAAACCGTTAAGGAACTATATGTGCCTGACCTTAACTGCCCGCTAGTACCCATGCATCTTTTCAACATTAAAGTCAAACCAAAGGAGATCGATTTTGGAAAGGTATTATTTTAACATGAAAATGCAAAGTATGTATACATTATTTTGGCATTATATTTCAAGATCCCGCCTGGAGTAGACTGCAAGAGTTATATTGTAATAGAGAACTTGAACCCTTTTGACATATCTGTTAAATTGTTTTTTATCAAAGATAGCCAACACGCACCACCCACAGCGTTCATTGTAAAAGCAATGGAAACCACTCAGAAAGATATAGTCATCAATTTGGACACTCTTGGAATGCACTTTAGGTGCTTAATTTTACCATTTCAGAAAAATTATTGTTATTCTGTTTTTATGTATTGATTTTTGTATTTTCAGCAATATGTATTACATAATTAACACGCATCATCGGTTTGATCTTAAAGTTGCTGCAGAGGTGGTTCAGAGAACGTTAGAACTACAACCGCCAGAGCTAACCATGTATGAGACACAATATTCAGACATATTTCTCAAGACTTGGGCACCGATTAAAATTGTCAATCCTCTTGGAGTTCCGACAAAATTTCGATGGAAGGTACTAGTTAAAACATTTGTTCACACACTGCAGAATTGAATAATTTTGGGTTCTTGAGAGCAATGAGTATATTTTAAATTATTTCAGATTTCCCACCCGTGTCCATTTTATATTACACCAAATTGTGGAATAGTCCCTGGAAACGGAGTTATAACTTGTTCTGTATATTTCCAATTCAAAGACAGATACAGTCTTGGTACTGTTGCAACTTTTCTTATAGATAAAGGCGTCCAAGTGCAATACCCTATAAATTATATTATCGACACAACTAGCTCATTGAGCATATTTATGCCAAAAATCAGTTGCCCAAACATACCATTGGGCTTGCCTTATAAAAAAAAAGTTATCATATTTAACCATGGGTAATATCACACATTTATTATTTTGCTTCAGTGAGAAACTAATATTTTGTAATTAGGTCAGTCGATTGTTATTTTTCTTTAACAAATCCAAATCCTTTGAAGGGAGTCACTATCAGCCCGATCGCAGGAATTTTAAAAGCAAAAGCTGGTTTCCTTTTGGAAATAAGCTTCAAAATGTTAAATATAACATCATTTGACTTTAGAACAGATATTGAAACTGAAGGAGATACCTGCATTCAATTAAAAGTGAATGGATATGTTGTATATCCAGGGGTATGTTATGTGATTGATTTTTTTTTTTTTAAGTTTTCCTTAAACAATGATTTTAGGTAACGTTCAAACCAACAAAAATCATATTTAAAGGAGGCCCTTGTAATTCTTTTACAACAATACCATTAACTATCGAAAACCAAAGTTTGGCTGAGATCAGACTCACATTCCCTTTGCATGATTTTCCGCAAATGAAAATTGCAAAAACTAATAAAAGTTTTGATGAAGGTATATCCAGAATTCAACTACTGTCGAAAATGAATAAGTTATTTCTATTTAAATTTATTTTAGGAGTTGGCGACGATCCGGTTGTTATAGACGCAAATGAAACGCTTAAACTGTATTTACATTTTGAGCCAAAAGATCTGGCGGCCTATCAGTTTATACTGCCATATGTTGTGAACGGCACTATTGGACCACCCTTACTAGAACACCCAGAAACCTGGAGTCCAGTACATTTCATAAGACCTGTTGCACGAAGGTGATTGTTAAATTAGTAAAAAACCTTTCAATTAGACAAAATATCAACATTATTAAATTTAATTAATTAATTACATTTAATCTTTTACTTAAGTCATGAAAATAAAATTGGAACAGGATTAAAATACAATTAATTTGTATGACATCTTGTTTGTTTTCAGTTTGGGTACGATTAAAAATAAATTGCCAGGTATGGATTTTCCAAAAGCATTGACCTGCGTCAATATTCATTCAACGTCAGTGCGTGGTCAGATATCTTGTTCTAAAAAAGAAATGCATTTTTTTAAACCACCACAGTGCGAAAGCAACACGATAACTTCTTTGTGGCAAACAGTTGATATAACTTGTCTCGCAAAGCAAGAAGTTACAGTCGTATTACAGCTTTTTGACACGAAACATTATCGCCCATTTTCCGTCATGCTAGTGGGCATTAAGAAAGAGAATATTCTGAACATACCTATAATAATACAACCGATGGAAGTCAAAACGATTGCTGTTTCATTCACACCGCCACACCCTGGTGCCTTTGAGGAAGAGCTTTCAGTTACAGTGAAAGAACATAATGAAAAAAGGCCATATTGCTTTTTAAAATTAAACGGGATCTTTCACAAATCAACATTATATTGCAGTGAATCATTGGTAGTATTTTTGTTTGTTTTTGTACTCTTATAATTTATTTTATCATTCTTTTATATTGATTTTAGCTGCATTTTATGCCTGTGCCAGTTGGTATTGAAATACAAAAGACTATAACTATTATAGCAAATTATCAATGCAAGAATTCTTTGCTAAAACACTCCATTATTGGACTTCAGGGAGAAAATAACGACCGAGTGCTAACACTCGTTTATCCAAACACAAATGAAATAGTGAAAGACAAAGAAAACTTTGAGATACCAGTGCAAATAAAATTTATAAGTTCACGCCCTGCAACTTATAGCGGCTATGTATAAAAAAATTATTATTTAGTCATTTCAAAACATTTTTTAATGACTTTTGTTGTTTAGATAATATTTTCAGATGGCTCTGATGGTGAAAGTAGAATTGGGTTTACGGTGACTGCAGATATTTCACTTCTAACGACTTATGCATACTATTATTTAACAGAAATAGGGGATCTTCGAGCTGTACATATCAAATTTTATAATAGAATTAAAACACAGGATGAATAATAACAAAAAATATTTTTAGTATGAAGCTGAGTACAACTTTGTTAGTGTTGAAGTGTATGGAATTGTTGGCAGTGCATCAGAATTAGCTCATCCCACCTCAATGTTAGAATTACCGGTAAAACTGAATATTTCATTGAAATTTTTTTTTTTAATATAAAAATAAATTGAACCTATAATTAGGTGGCCTCTGTATCGCGTTTTAATATTGATCAGTCTAAACAGAGTGACATAGCGGACTATCCCCTTTTTCCTATGTCTTCAAGTGAAACAAATTTTGCAATCATGATGAGAAAGTACGGGGTGTTGTTTATTACATAACAATTACAATATTTGAAAAACAATTTTTTTTTACTAGAACTGTGACTGCCACAGAAGATTGGCTGTTTGAACAAGGGTTTGGAGGCATTTACAGAATGATCATCGGCGATCACATGGCATTTTCAAAACACTACCAAACTGCAGTGCATTCACGTTCTAAAAATCCTTATTACTCTGTTGTTAAGTCTCTTTTAGACCTTGTACTCAGATATGCAGGAAGGGAATTCCACGCTCAGTACATAATACCTCCGTATGATTAAATTTGTTTAGCTCATTTAGACATTTTCACCAAAGTATTTGACATCCATACAGATCCGTTCCTGCAGATGATGATGGTAGAATCATGTATTGTCTCACAGCTTATAAACAGATTATAAAGTTTTTAAAAACCCAAGGAGCATTTATATCGCATATCTTCCCAGTTTATTTATTAGATTATGATGACTATGTGTATTACTATACAAAACTAATGCAACCGTCAGATAAAGTCAATGAATACATGGTGAACAATTATTGAAAAATTTCTTTACAAAATAAAACGAACTAATCTTTTTTTCTCCAGGTTTTCCCGGCAAAACCAATGCTTAGAGCAGACATATTTACTCGTTACTCAATTCAAAGTTGGCTCGACATATTGCTTCAAGTGTACAAAGTATTAGTTCTTGCTCCCACAGTACAACTAAGAACAAATTCGGACCTTTTCATTGAGCCATATTGTACTGTCGGGTATTAATTACATATTTCTTTTTATAGATGTAAACGATAATCATAAATATTTGTATTTATTAGAATAAGTGGTTGAGGGGCTGATGGTGAAATATAGTGTCACCATCGCCCCTCCAGCGTATGTGTGTTTAGGATCAATGACAGAATATTTATCAAAGTACCGCATCGACCCTAATTTTGATTATCTTACACTATTGCATGTAGGTCTATGGAGGAATGTTGAGTACTCTACCAACCATCAAGAATAAGTGCAATGTACATAGATGTGAATGTATTTATTTGTGCGATTGTACTATAGATGTTAGTTAGTTTTAGGCTAGATTATATTTTGTAAGCATTGGAGGCTGAAATGACCTAAGTTGGTTGGCCTGACCACAAAACGGATAGGCGAACTTTCCTGAGGTATAGACCCGAGTCAGCACATAAGGGAGTGACAACCCTTGGGGTTGAAAGTTCAATAATCATAAATTAAACTGAATTGACAAATTGAGATGGTAATTATGAAACATTGGCAAAACAATACTTGAAAAAATTGATCATGTATAAAAATGGTACAAAGAAAGATAATTTATAATCCCTTGGATCCTCGTTGGCAAACAAATTTTTATAAAATGAGTGGTGATTAGTGACCGTTAGTCGATGATTATTCAGAAATCGTGAGATGCGGTCTGGTGTGATGTAGGTTTTAGAAAGACATTTTCTTTAAAGATTGAAACGTTGGCACGATAAAGAAAATGTCTTTCTGAAATCTACATCTGAAACCTACCAGACCGCACCTCACGATTTCTGAATAATCATTTATAAAATGATTTCAATCAAGACACACATATAACACACAAGCATACTTATAAATATTTAAACAAAACACACCATAATATTTGATAATACTTATGTTTTTACCCAATTTTAGCACAGAAGAACATGAAGACAAGGAACTCCAAAAGCAAATAATTGAAAATATGAAATTTACTAAATTGCCAGATATTAAAATAAATTCCCATAGTGATTTTGTTGGTATAGCACCATTTGAACAATACGGAGAGAAATGCCTACTCAAATGGTTAAACGTTATTTTTGAAAAGAAGCGAACTAAATGGCTAAGCCTCAACCCTAAACTGAAACTACCCCCTAGAAAAGTGAAAAACTTTACAACAGATCTTAGGGATGCTGTAGTTTTGATCACTGTCACTGCTTATTATTGTCCATATTTGACTTCTGAGTTTTTCAATAATGTATTTTTCGATCCAACAGATCCTTCTCAGGTCAGTATAATTTTTATTTTAAATTTATACTTAAAAAAATGTAATTATTATTTTAGTATCAGCACAATGCTTGTATGTTGACTTTGGCTTGGGTGAGCATCCATTTAGGATTGTCCATATCAGCCAGAGATTTCCGATCACCCAATCCGATGCTGATGATTTTCGTTGTTGGACATCTTTTCAGCGTATTGAGATCTTACGTTCCAGAGACAGTCCTTCAGTTTTCAACTTGCCTCAACTCCATTATGCAAAGAAAGTTCCATATAACAAACCCGTCTACTCAGACAATCGGGTACTACATTAAGAAAATCGGTGATCCCAACAACCTGTTCTCTTTTTCACCACATAAAAATGTAGTTTTGGTCCATGGCAAAGACACGACTGTGGTCACAATTAAATACAGTTCAAGAATGATGAGGAAAGTCAAAGGTAATACTTTTTACTTTTGTGCCCCAAACTGCACATATAAAAAAATACATATTTTCAGCAACTCTGTTATTTTGTGGTTGTGGACAGCTTGGAGCTTTTGCGATAAACTTTGCCCTTACTGTTGAAGGCGAGGCAAAAAAATTTCATGTCAAAAATTTCTTTAAAATACATACACCACTTTTTAAAGTTGCCACAATAAATGTGGGCATATTATCGCCATTTTCTACTGCTGGAATGTTTGATATTTGGTACAGTGAAGAAGAACCAAAACCTGGTAAACAAAATAATGATTTAGTTTATGCATGTGTAAAAGTTCTAGCCTATGAATTTTGTCTTAATAATTTCTTAAGTTATTCTCAAGGAAAAAGTGTTTAGTGATCTACTTAAAATAAATAAAAGTGCTATACTGTACAAAAAATGATTTCATTTTTAATTGCAGGAGTAAAATTGTCAATGAGACCTTGGAAGGAAATAAAACATCAGACAATTCCAAGGTGCTTGTACCTTAATAACGATAGAATAGAATTGTTACCGATACACAGTGCGAAGCCATCATTGCTCAGTCTGGTCACAGCAGCTTATACAATGAAAGTGAAAGAATTTTATCTGTTTTTCCGAAACCCAACAATCGGGGATTTCATAACAAAAGTAAAAATCACCTTAAAATTTGAACTGTCTTTCTTAATCAATTTTATTTATGTTTTATCATGTATTAAAGATTCACATAATTCCAAGAGTCGAAATGCCATTTTATACAGTCTCCGTGCCATTCATGACAGCACCTTGTGCCGGAGTACCAGATGTTATGTGTGTGGCACAGTGTCCAAGGCTTGTGATGATATCACTCCCGGCAAGAAACAATAAATTTTGGTCTACTGCCAACACCATGCTTTCTCTCACAATGAACAAAAGAGACAAAGCGTTTTGGTCATCGTATGTGGGTAAGTTAAATTTTTCCTTAGGTGAAATTATTACTTAAAAAACAAAAAAAGAAGAACCTGCAGATAAGACTAAACTTATACAGCAGTTACATAGCATATGTCATAGGTGATATAATTTATCAACAAGATGTACTGCCAACTACATGTAGAAAACCAATTTTTTTTAAAGTATTTCAAAAAATCTAGTAACTCAAACAAAATAAATGATAACTTACTCGACCTTCTAGAAAATGCTTGGTACAATAAAAAACCAATTATAATAACGAAATTGCCTAAAAATTCCAGACCAAACTCACTTACTTTGTGGATGGTGAAACTTTTTTTCTTCCACCTTTTGGAATTGTTGAGATTTCTACCTTTAGCACTAAAACTGTTGTCTATTGTGCTGATCTTCTCCAGGATTTCCTGGAAGATTTATGTTTAGTTTTACGAAGTGAGGAATTCTTCTCAGGGGTATCTAACCAAGAACTACAGGCTCAAGAGCAGTTTTCCCAGCTATTATAATCTCCTTATACCTACAGCAGGACACTTGCATGTTTTGTCATTTCTATACATATCAACATTGGTCGTCTGTTGATAGTCCCATTTTTTAAGGTGGTACTTTACGGCAGCATGCTCTGTAAATATACCACTAAGAGTTTTTAATTCCTTTCTTCTAAGTAATTAATTTTTTAAAAAAGCAAATTTTCTGCTTTCTCCCATTGGGTTGTTTTAGTGAGTAGTCTTTTTGCTTGCCTCATGCTTGGTTTTTCCTCCCATTTGTTGTGTTTTTTAGTCACCCAAAATTCCATTTTTTAAAAGTTTTTTAAGGGTTCAATAGTTTATACCACAAAATGGATTTGGGCACATAAGTTTACCTTCAATTCATAAATTGGCATTTTAGCTGTTAGGCTATTCATATATCAGAGTTTTTTAGTGCGTTTAAGCAGTTCCAGAAAATTTTTGAGTTGATCTTGTAGGCCTGGAGAACCTTTAGAGCTATCTGAAAGCATTATAATTGTTTCACCTGGGAGATGTTTATTATTTGTTTTTTGTGCACATGTTTCTTTGGCTAGCAGTTCGGCTTGAAAAATAGTTGTGGTGAAGCTGAGGGTCGTGGGCTCTTCGTTAGACCCTTTGTTTGTTCTATGGCTAATGAAGTATAAAATTATTTAGCAATTATTAAGCAAAAACCATTTACATTTTAACAATATGGATGCAAATGACAGAGATCATTCATTAATTTGAATATTTGCCTCAGACAACATTTCTCTTACTTTAATTAAATATAATATACTGACAACTTACACTGAACCTTCAATGAAAGTTAAAAATGTTATGATAATTATACATTTTGACCAATTAACAAAAATCCTTGTTATCTTCATTCAAACAGTTTTCATATAAAGTTCATTATACTAGTTAGTTTTAATAATAGTATTCAAAATATAATTGATGTTTGGATTCTCTGGTTTTAGAGAAACCAATTGGTTTAAAATTGATCAAATGGCTCTTGAGTAAATCCAATAATCCAATAGCAGGAGAAATTGATTTCATCTTTAACCAATCTGTAACGTTTAATGTCAAAAGCGAATGTCCATACATTGAATTTCCTCCTATATTCACAATAGCCGGTAAGCAAGAGTCAAAAGAGGCAATTCAAATTCCAAATAAATTAAATAAACTTTTCTTTTCAGATGTAATGAGTGATGGGACTGTCGACTTTCCCATTCACTTAAAAGAGAACATTGAAAGTTCGTTTTCAGCTTACTTAAAACTGACCTCAGAAAACGGCAAGGAGATCCGATTGTATAATATAATGGTAACAAAATCATCGATCAGCATTGAAAAACAAGATTTCGTTAAGAGGTAATATCAGTTTTGAAACGACTGCTGTTAATTTAATAAAATATGACTTTTTTCCTTACAGCTTCTCAAAAGTAGGATCTGAAGACGTTTCCCAAATTAAATCTGAAACATAACTTTTTTTTCAACTAATAAAATAATTTGTTATTCAAATAATATTTGTTTATTCAATTTTCCAAATGGTTATATTAAAACTGGAATTAAAGAGAATAAGAAATATTTTCATATAAGGGGGTGTGGCCTGTTGAAAGGAGGGAATACCATGGGCATCCCTCCCATCCAACCAACACCAACAGTCCAACAGACGCTGTTTTTATTAGGTTGGGAAGGTTGTAAACTTGACAGCAACAAAAAAAAAGGTGATCATAAGAAAACAGATTTATTTCCAAACTGGTACAGTGAATTAGAAAGTTTTCCACTTGTAGAATATGGTAGACTTGGAGATTCCACCTGAGACAACAACAGAATTTCTTATACGTGTTGGACTTTACATTGGAGCTATATTCCAGCTCACTTGCATCCTGGCGATAATAATATTACCGGATAAAAACACAAACAGCCCACTGAGCGGAAGTCGAAATATAGATAATTCGGACCAACAGCAGTGGGAATCTTCATCAGCACCAGCCAGGCATTCGCACAACAGGGCGAGAAAGCAGGATAAAAAGAAAAGGCGTTGAACTTTCATTGTTTTTAAAATGTTTATTTTACTCAAGAATATTTATACATTTGTGTCGTAACATTCCAGAAACGTGTGGTTAGTGACCGTTAGTCGATGATTATTCAGAAATAGTGAGATGCGGTCTGGTGTGATGTAGGTTTTAAAAAACATTTTTTTTTTATTGTGCTACGTTTCGATCTTTATTGAGATCATCTTCAGGGCCTGGGTTTTACAAACATTGTTTAAATTTAACAAATACATCTAGGATGTGGAAAAAAGTGAATTTATACAATGCAAAAAATATATGCGCAGAAAACTTTTGAGTGAGTAGAAATGCTTTGAATAAATATAAAAAATATATTTTGCATTGTATAAATTCACTTTTTTTCAAATCCTACATGCATTTGTTAAATTTAAACAATGTTTGTAAATCCCAGGACTTGAAGATGATCTCAATAAAGATCTAAAAGTTGGCACAATAAAGAAAATGTTTTTCTGAAACCTACATCACACAAGACCGCATCTCACGATTTCTGAACAAACATTCCAGAAACAATTTGTAATTTTATGATTTGATAATTGTGACAAAAGAAGACTGAATTTGATAAATCGATCGTCTAAAAGAGTTTTAATTATTTGCATTTGATTTGTATTTTTTATTTAATAAATTATTTGTTTTGCTATATTTTGCTTCACTTTTAATTGCCTGACTACCATTCAAATTATATTCATATATAGTTTGGTTGGAAACCCATAAATGTTTATTAAATGACTTGCGTGTTATCGTAGAAAAGTAGTAGATTTGAATTTTACAAGTAGAAATTAAAAAATTTGGCACTTTAATGCTTATTTAGTACTTGAGCACCACATGTACAAAAAGATTCACAGAATGGTCATCTGCAAAACTTACAAAGGAATTACTGGAAGTCGATCACAACTGAACCAAGAGACACTGCCACCTAAGAAAACAACTGCAGTGCACACAGAAGAAATACTGCAGATATTGCTATGAAGAGGAGACCACAGAACACATTTTATGTTTCTGTGAAGGTCTATGTAGGTGTAGGTACTTGCAACTAGGACAGGAAAAACAACAAGCAAATCCTACTCTATGGAGCTGCTGGCAAGGCTATGGAGGATGATTAAAAACCTGAAGCTGGCCAGTGAATTATAAAAAAGGGAACACAGAGCACAATAGATCTACTCAGGTCAAGGTGCAGAAGGCCTTGTGGCCGTCTCTTTTATCCCCATCCCCAGTATTTGAGCATTTTGGTTTATTATGTTGTTTTGTAAGTTGTTGCACAATTTTGTAGGTTATGATAATTTTATGAAGCTCCTATATGAAGGACATTGTCCATAACAATGATTTGTATAAGTTCAACTCCACATACATACATAGAATTTTACTTCCTGATCTAAGTCTTACTTGTCCTGCCTCCAGTTACGCTGCTGTCACTTTCAGCCCCCCCAAAAATGCATATTTTTAACTTAGATATTATTAAATACATTCATTTCTATTTACAATTCACTCAAATAAGGAGGTGAAGTACTCGATAATCCTCTCTCTTATAATTTTTGCCCACCTGCCAGAAAGCTGGACGATGATAGTGGAGGGTCAAAACGGCTGGACGGTACGAGAAGTGGAGGAGCAGACAGCAAGGTGGGCGGCACAGGCCCTGCTGGGTTGATCGATAGAAGACCCGGCTAACAAGGATAGGTAGGCAGGCACAAGACAAAAAAGTTGGCTTCCTTATGGTTTGATTTTCATATGGTTCGACCTCTGACTTCGAGGAAACTTGCACCACAGAGTGGTAAAAAGGAAGATTTTTTTCCCTCCATTGCAGAGACTAACTAGAAAATAGGGTTTGATCTTATACATATATATATGTGTGTGTGTGTGTGTCATGTTTATTTTCAACTTGTTTAATATACATTTTGATTTTATTATTTCTATTCATGCCTTTCCATTTATCATACTGCCAGCACAAAGTATATTTTCAAAGGTTCATTATTCGCATTAAAATAGTGTGGCATCGAAATTATTATTTTTTTTTTTTTTATCACACCCAGAACAAACTTCATCACCGAGCTTCAGGCGCCTAGAATTATGTTGTTTCTGTTATCATGGAAATCGTAACCCCCTGTACAAATATTATATAACTATATATATAATTCAATCAAGGATAAATGGTACTCAATATTACACTTTCCACCATTGGTACTCTCACACTGTACTTTCAATCTCAATATATTAAAAAAATTATTATTTGGAGATTGTGAGATGCGGTCTGGTGTGACGAAGGTTTAGAAAAACATTTTCTTTATTTAAATATTTTTAAAAATATTTAATAAAGCCGTTTGAATATTAAAAAAAAAAAAAAAAAAACAACTAAATATGACATTTCCTCAAACATCAAAACAAGGTATCCAATGCTGAGATGCTCAAGCACTCCTATACGCTCTCTATATGTAGCCAAGGAATGGCAACCTTCAGTTAAAGTAGGAAGGGTGTCAATCCTTTTAATAAACAAAATATACCTGATGAACATGATGGTAAAAGGTGCAACAAAACGAGTCATATTTAATAATTGATCAATTGTTTATTTACAAGTATGCAAAGTTGTGTATGAATTTCTAGAAAATGCTAAATACATTAAAGTATTTAAATGATTTAATTTACATAACTTCATATACCTACATAGTTTGATAAATTTCAAATTGAAATTTACAAATGACTTATTCAGTCTTAAGGTTCATATATACCAACAAGTAGCATATACAGCAACCAGCACGTACAGGCTAAGACAGAAATATCAAATCAACATTATCGAATCGGTCAAATCGACCTTTCATTATACATCCTTCAATGCCAAATACTCACTCAGAAAGTTTAAATAATTAAAATAAAATGATTTTAACTTAATACTCTATAAATTTGACAGAATATCAATAATAATTTTTTGGACGCCAATTGGTATCATTAGATTTAATATTTTGAATCACTGATCATGCAAATAAGAAACTTCTTTACTGAAAACATTTTTCTTAAGCAGTATTTTATTTAGTTAAAAAAATTATTTACATAGACATACTAAAATTAGCTTGCTGGTATTTCTTCCGGAGTCCATAGTTTAAACGTTCTATCATAAGAAGCTGTCGCTATAAACTTAGAATCGGGTGAAATGTCCAAGCACATAACTTTTCCATCATGGCCTGATAAAGTTTTCAATGGCTGCCAAGTCTTGTTTGACCAAACCTTTTAAAAAATGTGTGGTGATTAGTGACCATTAGTCGATAATTATTCAGAAATCGTGAGATGTGGTCTGGTGTGATGTAGGTTTCAGAAAAACATTTTCTTTATTGTGCCAACGTTTCGATCTTTATTGAGATCATCTTCAGGGCCTGGGATTTACAAACATTGTTTAAATTTAACAAATACAGGTAGGATGTGGAAAAAATATATTTTTTTAAATGCAATCAAAGTATTTCTACTCACTCAAAGTGTTTGTCTTCTGTGTACACTTTGAGTGAGTAGAAATACTTTGATTGAATATAAAAAATATATGTGTAGAGATTAGTGAGCGTTAATCGATAGTTATTCAGATATCGTGAGATGCGGTCGGGTGTGATGTAGGTTTCAGAAAAACATTTTCTTTATCGTGCCAACATTTCGATCTTTTATTGAGATCATCTTCAGGGCCTGGGATTTACAAAAAATGTTTACATTTAACAATTACATTTAGGATGTGGAAAAGTGAATTTATACAATGCAAAATTACACAGAAGACAAACACTTTGAGTGAGTAGAAATACTTTGTTTGAATATAAAATATAATTGGCAAAGTATAAATTCACTTTTCCACATCCTAAATGTAATTGTTAAATGTAAACATTGTTTGTAAATCCCAGGCCCTGAAGATGATCTCAATAAAAGATCGAAACGTTGGCACGATAAAGAAAATGTTTTTCTGAAACCTACCTCACACCCGACCGTATCTCACGATATCTGAATAACTATAAAAAATATATTTTGCATTGTACAAATTCACTTTTTTCCACATCCTACCTGTATATGTTAAATTTAAACAATGTTTGTAAATCCCAGGCCCTGAAGATGATCTCAATAAAGATCGAAACGTTGACACGATAAAGAAAATGTTTTTCTGAAACCTACATCACACCAAACTGCATCTCACGATTTCTGAATAACTTTTAAAAAATAAATCAAAATTATATCAATACAATAGCTAGATTAATAAAATAATGTTTTAAAACATACTTTGGCTGTGTTGTCATAAGATGCCGTTATTAGAAAATCGCCTATGCCAGGCTGGTACTTGACATCGGACAACAGATTGCTATGAGCAGGTATTGTGTATATACAACTTTGTTGCCTTAGATCCCAAAGTTTACAAGAATTGTCCTCACTGGCGGTTGCTATGTGGTATCTGCATAAAGGGAAAAATTATTTTGGATGGTTCCTGAATTTAGCAACAATTGTAAGAAATTACTCATACCCATTGGGGGAAAAATTTATTCCAAAAATGCTTTTTAAGTGGCCTTCCATGAACATAATGCATCTACCAGTTCGCAAATCCCAGACTCTGCCAAATGCATCTAGACCCCTGTAAAATATGTCATTTGTTAAACTATAATTTAAAAAAAACCTTATATATATATATATATATATATATATATATAGTAGCCTTTTTTTAAATGTAATTATGTAATTCCTGCGCCAATGAAAATACGTTCCACTTCTTAGCCTAAGATAATAAGTGCTAGTGGAGAGGCTCTACTTTATAGGAAGTCGCTTATTATCAAGTCAACAACCTTTTAGCAATGCTAAGGAATCAACAAAAACGAAATATACATACTTATTTTATATGTGTGGTGATTAGTGACCGTTAGTCGATATTTATTTAGAAATCGCATCACTTATTTTATATTTCAACTTATAACTTTTAATATTTTTTCTCAGAAGAGTAACTGAGACTACCTTAAGTAAGTAAGGTTACTTCAATCTAACACAGGAGTCAATTTTTTAAAGAAAAAATAATATTACTCCAGTTTTGTAGCAAAAATGCCCAAGCTTTGTGTAAATCATGGTAACAATATGAAAATTTGACACACTGAAAATGGCAAAATCCCAAAACACACCTGACAGACCAACCCAGCAGACTAAATTGATCGGTAAGGATCAAATTACAATAAAAAACTAATTGAATATTCATCATAGCATTCCATTAATTAAGGTTTTAAGTTGAGATAAAAAAAGTCAGTGTCACGAGCGGGATTCGAACCCACGACCTTCGGCTTGATACGCCGCTACTTTACCACTTGAGCTATCGTGACTTCGATCCACTCGGGCACTAACTTCCCATCTCAACCCCACCTTCGAATTTTCCCTCCTTTTTGCCATTTTTCAAATGTCGTGTAATCGATTTGATTCTCGGCGACAAATGAAATGGCCACGGAGAGCTTTAGTGAAGTATCCTTCATTTTAAATCATTAAATTCACTATTTTTCGTGGTCTGCTTGACCAATTAATATAATTCAATTATTAAGGTTAAGGTAAGTAGAGATAAAAAAGTCAGTGTCACAAGTGGGATTCGAATTGTATTAACTGGACAAGCGGACCACGAAAAATAGTAAATTCATCATAGCAGCAATTCATTTTTCACTGTTGAATGTAAAATCTAACTGTGTCAGTAATAAATAGATAATTTTTATTTACATGCCAATAAGTAGGTAACATAAAGTAATTCTTGTCGTACAGAAGGGCTTAATGACCAACAATCTATTAAATATAGTGGACTACAGGTCAAACCACTTATACTTTTTCATATTATTATCACATAAAAGCAATGGTCTATGCTTGGATTCATACCCAGAACCACTAGGATGGCAAATATGAGTAGGATCTCTAATCACTCAGCAATCGAGATCCCCAACTTCAACTCCTGGACTGGACTGGACTGTAATATTCCAATTATCCTCTACTATAATGAAACATGGTGGTAAACACTGATCATCCTGATTTTGTTTCAACATCTAGTTATCAGTTTTAGCCAAAGACAGCCTGACCATAAATAGGCTGAACCTTTACAAGAAACTGATTTTTTCATCAATCATTAATTAGTTAATGCAGTAATCCCAAACAATGTACCATGCTGCAGCTCCCGGGGCCTGGCGAAAATTTTCTATAAATAATATTATTGTTATATTTATATTGGGTATAAAAAAAATAAAATAAAACTCTAAAAACTAAGATCCTGGTGGTCATCCAATCTCAATATGGATGTAAAAAAGACAGCTGCAATTGTATATTTTACTTCAAATTAAATTTTTATTTCGATTATACATTTTATCTAAAGTCTTGGTAGAAACAAAAAAGCTAGTGTCATGGGTGGGATTCGAACTCAGGACCTTCAGCTCAATACACCGCTGTTCTAACCAACCATTTAAGCTATCGTGCCTTCGATCTACTCGGACATCAACTCCTCATCTCAGCCTACAACCTTTCTAATCCCTTTTTCCCTTTTCTTTCCCCCTTTCTTATTCCCTATTTTTGCCACATTTTCAAATGTCATGTAATCAGGATTCAATTCTCAGCGACTATGAAGTGGCCATGGGGAGCTGTTAGCAAAGTAATTACTTCTTTTAATTATTATATCATGTTTGTTTGTAACCTTATACGTTTAGAGGTCATAATTGTCCTATTTAATTATTTCAATTAATAATACATTTTATCTGAAGTCTTGGGTTCAAATTACGCTCGTGAAACTATGCTTTTCATCTCAACCAAGGCTTTGCATAAATTGTATAATTAATTGAAATAATTTAATAGGTCAATTATGACCACTAAACATATGAGGATTAATGCATATTTTTATTATTGCAAAAAAAAGTATTTGCTTTTATATTTTTGCTATTAAGTGCATAATCCCTTTTCAAAAGGCAAGTTTTTCAATATCAGAAGAAAGTCAAAAGTTTTGATTATTTATTAAATAAAATTGCAGACAAAATAAGAGTTTAGATATATCACTGCTTTTCTTAATTGGAAATGAATTACTACTATTATCATAAAGTTCACACTGACATAGACCACTGTTTTGACTTGGAGCGCTGCAGAAAAATTTTGATATATTAAGGGCACCAGAAACAGAATAAGTTTGGTAACTCACGAATCTGTGATTTTTTTTTTTTCCGTTTCTGAACTTTACAAGTCTTGGTTAGATTCAGTCGGCATTTATTTGAGAATTCATTGAAAAAATTATCTTTTCACGTCATTTGAATTTTTGTATGCTATTTCCCCTTTTTATTCCTATAAAGTTAGCCTTTATATCTACACTATTTTCTTATTCAAGTCCAAAACTTTCTTAGACAAAAAAACTGATTTACCCAAGCGATAAAATAGTATTTTATCCTATAGCTATACTTTCTATAATATATGCTAAGTGTATATAATGTGCTATTTAATTTATTATTCTTACCCTGTGGCTGAAATTGAGCCATCGCATTGGAAAGAAATACAGTAAACTGATGAAGAATGACCCTCTTGATGGAGTACTTCTTGCACCGTTTCTAAGTCCCAAAGCCTCCATGAACTATCATAACAGCATGTCGCCATCAGTCGTCCCGAAGGATGGAATCCTAATCTGGATACTCTATGAGGAGAATGTCCTTCAACATCCACAATAGGTTCTTCGCTGAAAATCAATTTCATTTGAGATATTGAGAGAAAACTATCGAACATGTATTTACCTGCCGACGCTCCAGAGTTTCACGCTACCGTCGACTGCACAAGATGCCAAATCGCAAGCAGTTTTTCCACCTCGGCCTGCATGGGGATGAAATTCTATAGCGCAAACATTGCAATTGTGACCTCTCAAAACACGTTTTTCTTCGCAATCGGGAATACTCCAAATTTTACAAAGGCCACTCCTTAATTTAAAAAAAAAATTATTTTTTTTTAGAAAGAGTTGAAATTTAATTGATTTACCATGATGAAGTAGCAAGCATGGAAGAATCAGGGCTGAAATGACAGTATGATATTGGCCTGGTGTCACCTATCTGACTACAGTAAATTGACAGTGAGGTCAATTTTTTTTGAAGTTCTTGTTTCTTAGCTGTTACAGATGCTTCTGCTTGATTGAGCTCTTCCCTCGCCTTTTTCAGTCTCTCTTTGGCCCTTGGAATGGAATACTCTAAAACACGAATACGACATGCCTTTAGAATATTTGTACATTATCTCCAATATATTATCAGTCTTTAATATTAAAAATCAGGGACAAGGCAAAGTTAAAAAAACAATTGTTTAAAATTATTAATAATTCTTCAATTAATGAAGGTTTTTAGTTGAGATAAAAAAGTCAGCGTTGCGAGCGGGATTCGAACCCACGACCTTCAGCTAGATACACCGCTACTCTACCGCTTGAGCTATCGTGACTTTGATCCACTCAGACACTAACTTCCCATCTCAACCCCACCTTTTGAATTTTCCCTCCTTTTTGCCATTTTTCAAATGTCGTGTAATCTATTTGATTCTCGGCTACAATTGAAATGGCCACGGAGAGCATTAATGAAGATATACTTCATTTAACTTATTAAATTCATTAGTTAATGATTTTTTATCACAACTATAAACATTAATTAATTGAAAAATATTAATTGGTCAAGCGGACCACGAAAACTAGTGAATTATTAATAATAATTTCCAAGTCTTGTAAAAAAGATATATTTCTTGAAAGCATGACAAAGTAACTGTCTATGCTCTTTCAAACTGGACTGAGAGGTTATGTAAACCCTCGCAATGCCGGTGTTTTGGAAAAAAAATTGTAGACATATCAGGCAAGAATTCAGCGGCCCTGTATTTGAACCTGGGACCTTTACCTTAACCATTGTGGCCACCAGTTGAACATTGTTTTGATTTATTGTGGCTAAGATATTGCAATTTTATGCCATTGGCAGCTTTATATTTTTTCCATTGCTTTCTTTGTTTGGCTATATTTAACTGAATATTGAACATCAAAACTTTTTATAGAATAACGCATACAATTTCAGTTGAAAATGAAATAACCTAAAAAGACCTATTCTGTAGAGGACTGCTACATGATGAACGTGATAGTTCATTTTTCTTCGATCACCCTTAACTGTCCGCATTCCACCCTTTTCAGTGTCTTCAATTAAATCACACAGAGAAACCAGTGAACAAATCAGACAATGTAGATTTCATCACCTAGCAGACGTCGCAAGATTTACAAACAAATTGTTACATATAATTCAATATATGTTTATGCTTCACCAGATTAATAATGATTTGTAATTAATTGAAATTGATTTTAATACAATAGACTAATAAAACTTGGTGCCCACACTAGCACACACCGACTTGAGAATAACCCATCTAAATGTGTTCTAAACTTTTACGTTAGAAGGTTAAAGATTTATTCGGAAATAATTCTAACAGAACAAACAGAGCAACTATTTATAGGTAATATTTATTATTTTAAGACAGATGATTGAAAAATGCACTAGCGTAACGTTGCCATCCATATACTATTTATAGATTATAAACAAGCCTTTGACTGAACATAACTCAATTTTTAATACTTTTATTATACAATTTAATATCATAACATATAAACTTATTGATTTAATTAACTAGTCACATCTGGCCAATGTAAATGCTAGCTGTAAGATTGACCATATAACAGTAGATATACTGTTGAAATACAAAGATCTGGTTACCAGTGGTAAAGATGTCATTCTGTGCTCGATTAAAGGACATTCTGGCATTCGTGAGAACGAACTGGTAGATTTGTTTATTAAAAAGGCGGCAGCAAATGGATATCTTTGCGATTACAAACTGACAAAAAGTGACAGCAAGCGAGGTTTGAATAAGGAATGGCTGTCTGCCTGGCAGGAATACCACACCGGTTCAACAGGAGGATCTGTATATAGGACAAGGTTCCCCGTGGTACCAAAAGCACCTTGGTTTAAAGATTATTCGGCTACTCGACATTATTATTCTACCATTATAAGTATAAGAACAAATTACGGCTTATGGGGCGCGCATCTCAATAGAATAGGACTGAGAGAATCCCCAAATTGAGCGACTTGTGATTGCAGGGAAAATCTGAACCACATAATACTGGAGTGCCCAGAGTACAAGGGAAGAAGAAAAGGTCTTATGGAATATATTCATGCATTGGAAGGTGAAGGAAGACCGTATTGTTGGGAGTCCCTGGTTACGACGAGTAGGAAGGAAATCCACGATCTGCTATCTCAATTTCTAAAATAATATAACATCGAGGTGTGATCGAATGTCACTGAGAAATTAGTAAGAATCTGTATTTAGGAGCGTGGTTGTTGCGGTGGTATGGCCGGTTCTCGGTGGGTTTGGCTGGCGGGGTGGTTGGAGGGGGAGCAGGGCGTATTAGCCCCGGGTACCTCGAGCACGTACCCTTGCCACTCACGCTGGTTATGTTAGCTAATTTGAGAAGTCATGGGTAATATGATAACATTATAAAAAAAAAAAAAAAAAAAAAAAAAAAAAAGAACTAATGGCTGAAAACGCATGCAAGAATGTTTATTGGCAACCAGGGCTGGGTGATGAATTACATAAATCTATTAGGCACTAGCAGCTTACACAACAGAAAAAGCAAAAATGCATTAATTCCAATTTTGTCTGAACAAACGAATGTACATATAAAATGGACTCAAATAAATGAAAATCAGGAAAGACTGATAGACACACAACGGGGATAGATAGTCGATCTGGATCATCAGAAATAATGAACCTACAGACCAAAAAGAAATCTGACCTTTTTCTCCTATTTTAAGTAGTGTTCTCATGATTCAACTCCGATTAATAACACACCCACTAACAAACTGTGGTGCCACATTTGCTCACAGAAGTTACAATATAACTGTAGAAGAATTTCATCTACTGAAACTGAGCCTATTAATCAAATTTCGTGATGAATTACGGCTCACTGGTGTGCTGTTGGTGCAGGGATTCAACAGCTCTCAAAGAGGTATATTCCACACCCCCAATATTACATCTTAAGATCTTCAGTGGTGTTAATTTGTGTTATCATAAGAAGGTAAAATGATAAAATCCATCTGACAGATCAAACCAGTGAAGATAGGCAGACCAAAATGATGGGAATTAACCAAACTACAGGTTCACGCCCAGACGACATGAAAGCAATGTCAAAATAAGTTTTTAATAGTTACTAGCAATCCACAGCCTGACGTTCCTCAGTGCTTCCGAGCCTTCATGGTACCACGTTTCTTGTTCCTTCTCTTGTTTTATCCTTTCCTCTTCTTCTTCTTGTTTCTTGTATATCGCATCTTCTCCTAGCCTGGACAAAAGGTCCCTGAGACGGTTCCTCCTTTCTGCCGGCCCTTCGCCGAAAATACAAATCGGCTCGCCGAGCTGCCTCAGGTTCAGCCTCACCTCGTTGTCGTCTGTGGAAACATTGACATGGCGGGCCTTCTTGCGCCTCTCAAACTCATCGAGCAGTGCCTGTTTGTCCTTTGACATTTCATCTTCGAGATCCATGTATTCTAAAATTGAGATGAAAAATCAGTCAAAAATTAATATTGATTGGAGGGGGGCATTTATTTTATTTAAATCACCATCGGATGTGTGTATGTTTCCAACTTCAGACTTGACGGGGATTTTGTCAATGTCGACTGTCGAGCCTTCTTCTGCATTTTCAGCCGAAGCCTGGTTTGCAGCGGCATTTCTTTCTCTCTCCTGCTCGTCCAAAGGTCCATAATGGATTAATTTCTGCTTCTTTACATAAATCAAATCCTCTTCATCCGACATTGTTACAGTTCTAATAAAACATAACTCAATTAATGAAATTCCAACCTTTATTTTTACCAACAGACATTTTAAATCTTAAAAAACTATTCTCAAACGATCCTGATATTATTTAGATTAATTAGAAATAATAAAGCAGTATTGAAATACCTTAAAAATACACTTTTGTACGGTAAAAAAACCTTCTAAAACAGCGTGGCTTGGTAACAAAATAAACTGTTATCTTGTTGTAGTAACGATGCTTTCATTCATTTAATTACATAACCCTCTTCTTCAATAACAGTTACGTGAATGTGTTTACTTTTAAGATAAAAAAAAACATGTTTGCCCAGAGATTCTAACAGTATTGAGATAAGTTTTGTAATCAAATTTCCTATTTTAAACCATCCGGCCACAGGTAAACGATAAAAGGATGAACTCCATTAAAAGGTAGTTGTCATAGTAGATTGTCTTAAATTCGCCTAAATTAATTTACTATTGCTGTTATTTATGTGAATTAGTGCCAGGAGATTGCTTTTGAACCAGAAACGCATCGACCCTGTTGGGTACGTCGCCTTCAGTGGATGGCCGGGCCAAGAAAAGAAGGCAAAAATTAACTACAACCCTTATAAATATGTTGCCGTCGGTGTAGTTGTTGGCATCTCTGCCCATTTATATTTAAAAAGTAAGTTCTATAATTCGCTGAAAATTTTTTTAAAGTATGCCTTAAATCGTAAAGTTAGACTCCGAGGTTGTCACATTATAAAAACCTAGATGGTCTTTTCCTGGTAGAAATACCCTTTTAAAACTTTGCAGTAGTCATACAAATCTATGGTTCATAGATTCATACATGGCATAGATGTAGCTGAGGGCTGAATAGTTGGGGTGCTTGATTCGTATTTGCCATGCTAGCAGTACTGATTTCAACTATCGTCATAGACCTAGTACCTTTATTTGTGAATAATTTGGATAAAAGTGTTATAAGTTTATAAGTAGGACCTTTGTCCATGAGACCCAACATCTAGTGTAACATTAAACACTTATGTATTGTTCTGTTTGTAATATGCTTGTTCATTCTTTGCATACTTCGAACGGAGCACCTTTGCCAAAATAAGTGAAAAGTTCAAATTGGCCCCATGTTGTTTAAATAATCAAGCAGAATTACTTAAATAAGAGTAAAATAGTTGCAGTCAATCAAACTATAGGGAAAGTCGTTCATAGCTATTTGGGCTGACAGTAAAATAGAGTAGGATCCAATAAAAAAAAGGAAAAATCATTATTAGAGGAAGTGGAACCACCATATGGACAGTACAATCTAATGTTTAATGTAAAATTGGAATTAACTGGACCAAAGTCCGTACCAGAATCGTGGGAAATGAAGTGGCAGATCACTTTGCAAAGGAGCAAGGAAAAAAAATTTGGTGGAGGAATTCTGTAGGATACCATCGACATACACATATCATTAAATACAGAAGGTACGACTTAAAACATGTGCGGAGATGTGGGGATGGCATTAAATGGATTTCACAAGAAGAAAAAATCTGGCAGTAAAAGCCTGCTTAGCTGTCGACCTCAAACAGATAAATAAGATTATTTGCGTCATCGGTGGACATGAAAAAATTCAGCGTACTTGGCTTGGTATTTAGGTATTTGTCCACATTTTCACGACCATTTAAAGTAGTGGTTCCCTCTATTTTTACGATTAGTAAAATTAACATAAACAGTTTTTTGTCTGTTCTGTTTCATCTCTAATTTTTCAGTCCATTTTTATATGGAACCACTTGCTGTGGTTAGCAGTCCTAGAGCTGCTGATTTCATTTTCTAGTAGTGTAACATCTGTGAAGGGTGCTGTTGAGATATCCTCTTGGGGATAGTTCTCTTTTTTATGAGAAATACAGGTTGGGGCACAGATTATATTGAGAAACCAAAAGTGGCCACCCTTAATATTTTTAATTTTCTCTTAGACAATACAACATTGATTATCTTACCTTTTTAAAGGATTAGAGGTAAATAAAGCACAGATAAAATCTCCTACTTGTGTTTATGAGTGGATTTTGTAAATAAATCTCTTCTTTGTTAGTTTTTCTGTAAAGTTTCTTTCTAACATTCCTTTTAAGTTGTACCATTTTTAAGTTTCACATTTGTTTGAGTGGTGGTTTTAAGAGATAATATTCAGCTAGAATCATAGAAGATGGAAGACGTCAAGCATGGCCAGGGTGCTTAACATTCTCAGACTGTGACTGACAACAACTGTCTGAAGAGTCTTCCATCACTACCAAGATACTGGAGGTAACTCAAGAAGTCATGGATCAGATCTCCATCGTGTCTTATTTCAGAAAGATGATAGTTTTATTGTTTTATATGTACTCCGTAATCAACATTCTACTGCTGTTGAGATCAAGCAATGACTTCAACAAGTGAGAAATGTTAATGTCAGTTTAAGCACTGTATGGCGAAGACTGGATTACAAGCGAGAAGACCTGCCGACCTACCAGTCCAGAACTTCTGAAGAATAATAGAACTTCTGATATGGCAAGGGACAGCTCGGTAAGTTTCACAAGAAACCACATCAATTGGTCTGAGCAAGATGGGATGAAATGTGGTTTCCGGATTAGTCACTTTTGTTTGAGGTCTTCTGACAGCCAAGAGAGGGTTTGGAGAAGAACTGGAGAGCGATATATCCCCGCAACATTTTCACTAAGGAGATGATGGTGTTATGGGCAGGCGTTTCTATGGAAGGTCACACAAACTTGATCTTTATCAAGGGTTCCTTAACAGCTGCATGATACATTGAAGATGTGTTATCAGAAGAAGTTGTTCCTTATATGTAACTATAACTGTAAACCAGGGCCGCGGTAGCCGAGTGGTTAGCATGAGAGACTCTCGGCTCGTGGGTTCAATTCCCGCCGTCGCCTCTGGCCTTTTTTTCACGATACCCTTCCCCCCCAAAATGAATATGCATACCTATTGTCTGTCATTGGCTAATATGCATAGAACATAAAGCCATTAAAAAAATAAAAAAGTAACTAACTGGCATCAGTTTTATTTTTATGCATGAATATACAAGGCTCTACACTGCCAGGAGTCGAGAAAATGCCTTTAAGATTATTGGGCAGTAAAAGTGGCCAATATTTAAGTCAAAGGTGGGTTTTTGGTCTCAGAGATCATCAGATTTTTATACTCATATAATTAAACGTTAACATCAGTTATCCATCCTGTTAATCCTATGTATACAAAGCACTTTAATTTTGACAATTGGAAATGGATTAAGATCTTTTTATAGGTATTTCCCAGTAATTTAGGCGTATTTCCTTGTCCGACTGACATCTGTTAGTCATTGGTGTTTGACATAAATAAAAATTGTTCATTTATTTTTGTAGATAACTTTTAGATGTAAATTTTTTGTTTATTATTTAAGTGCGATTTGAGATATTTAAATTTGTAAGAAAAACTATCTAAAATTTTGTCCTTTCCTTAAATATAAATGTTTTTTTAATAGAATTTGTCATCAGTTTGTACCATTTTTTCTTTTAAGTATGAAGCACTTTCTACAAGGGTCATTCATTCTTTTACCCACTTCATCTTGTTTACATTGATAATCTCATTGTTTATATATATAATGCACTTAACTGGTTGTACTTCAGCGGTTTAGAGTAGACATATTTAAGTGTGGATCATCCAGTGTTTATTTTGTGGCAATCTTATTTTTATTTTTATTAGAACAATATTAGAATCACGGCTGTACAGGCAACATATTTTCTCCTCTTTAAACCCCCAAAAGAAAGTTCAGTCTTTTTTCCATTCTACCAAGTCAACTTTTTCTTTACAATCAATAAAATCGGTTGTATAGTGACTACATTATTAAAGGTTGTACTAGGCATGTGCAAGAATGCTGCTCGATATGAAAATTGTTGCAGCAGCAAATCTTTGGATCCCCTCAACTGTACTGTATATAGTCGTTGTAATTATCTGCGTTGGTGTTTTTTTGTCTAAATGTATTTCTTGAATTTATTTCATGGTGTGAATGTGTATTGTGAGAGGGCCGATTGTGCAATGGTGAATATGCTGTCAACCTCACACTTACATTAGTTGTACAGGATGATTGAGTAACATCAAGTATAATTCCCTAATTCCGTGGTTCGCTTGACCAATTAATATATTACAATTAATTATGGTTTTTAGTTGAGATAAAAAAGTCAATGGCACGAGTGGGATTCGAACCCACGATCTTCGGCTAGATACGCCGCTGCTCTACCATTTGAGCTATCGTGACCTTGATCCGCTCGGCGTATCTAGCCGAAGATCGTGGGTTCGAATCCCGCTCGTGCCATTGACTTTTTTATCTCAACTAAAAATCTTAATTAATTGTAATCAAGTATAATTTTAAATACTGGTATATTTATTTAAAAATAAGTGAGAATGTGGGTTTGAATTTAGGTTTTAAACTTGCATGCATTAGGTGCCGAAATGACCTAGCTGTCAATAGCCCCCTAACATCAGTTGTCAGAACGAACAAGACCTCCTAGCTTAACACCAAGTAGGTGAATCTCATATCTTCCCTTGGAAAGTCCATTCCTAATAATAATGAAAATTAAATAAAATAAACTGTAAAAATGTATGCCCAACCTACACTGAGCAATTATGTTTTGAATGATGCCAGCCTTGGCCAAAAAATCTATGACTATGACGTTGTATAACCTATATTAGAGTTTGGTGAGTATATCGTTGACACCATGTTAAAGTGACGAATGTGAAAAGTGGAGACAATCCATATTCGTCACTTTAACATGGTGTCAACGATATGTCTATGTACATGCCTTAACATTTTAGGTAGACATGAGACTCTCTTTGCATTGGATATTGACAAAAAGTATGGTGCGAGAATTGAAGGACTGCCAAAATATAAATTATCAGATGTGGCCAAGCATACAACGAAAAAAGATAAAATTTGGGTGACGTTCAGAGAAGGTGTTTATGATATTACACAGTTTGTTGATCATCACCCGGGTGGCGATGTGATATTGTTGGCAGCTGGCGGATCCGTTGAGCCTTTCTGGCTCATGTATGGTGTTCACAAGCAGGAACACATACTCAAAATTCTGGAACAGTTTAGAATTGGTGATTTTTTAACGTTTACAATCCCCTTAGTTTTTGGTTGACAAAAACATTGCTTTTCAGGCAATTTGGACCCAGAAGAGGCGGACGAAGTTATGAAAAACATGGAAGATCCTTATTCAACGGACCCAAAGAGACATCCAGCCCTTCATCCAAATTCCGTCAAACCTTTTAATGCTGAACCTCCACCAGAAATTTTAGTCGGGAATTTCCTTACACCCCAGTGAGTTTTAACAAATATAGCCAAATACTGATAAACAACAACTAAAATTTTATCAATTTCTGAATTTATTAGAGACCTTTTCTATGTAAGGAATCATCTTCCAGTCCCTGAAATTAATTCTGAGACGTACGAACTTGAAATAGAGGGTTTGGGCATACAGAGTAAAACATTCACACTAAATGAATTGAAAGAACTACCAAAGCACACTATCACAGCTACTGTAATGTGTGCAGGAAACAGGAGAAGTGAAATGAGTGCAGTAAGTACAATTTATAAATTAAAATTTAAGATATTTTAAGACTAATTTTTATGTTAGGAAATGCACAGTGAAAAAATAAAAGAACGCATTTGCAGTAAGTGATCATTATGAGTATATCACAGATGAAGCATAGACGAGTCAGTTGAGTTGAAGTTACAAATGTATTTGTTAAGAATTTATCAACATAAGAGGGATTTATTTTTGTTCATATATCTTTCAGGATTTAGGATGACTTAATAATATTATCGATGTAATTATTCTTCTATTGGGTCATTATGCCTGTAATGTCAGTTTTTTATGTAGTTTGGTCATCCTTTCTTGCCTGGAATGCCGAACTGCATTTGACAAACCAACCCAAAACCATATCACTGATTTCTCATCATCATCTGGCACATCATTCATTATAGCCGAATAATTTAAATGCATCTCATTTGGCAAAAATATACGTGGTCATGATTGGCACGGATGATCAATCTACGAATCATCACCCTGCAATCTTCACTAAAACATTTCATAAAAATTTATACATTTTTGCTATGTATATTTTACATTGTTAAAGCATTGTTTTGATTTTAAAATTTAAATAGATAAAGCCGGTGAAAGGTCTTAATTGGACTCATGCAGCAATTGGTAATGCGACATGGTCTGGACCAAAGCTACTTGATGTTTTGAAAAGTCTTGGTCTTGACGATAATCCAGAGGCTCAGCATGTTCAAGTATATATTTCATAAAAATTTTCTTTGTGAAGTACGTCCTAATTCTTATTTCATTTAGTTTGAAGGCTTAGATACAGACCCGACAAATACACCGTATGGAGCTTCAATTCCAATTGAGAAAGTATTGGATCCACGAGGGGATGTCATTTTGGCATACGAAATGAATGGAGAACCTCTTAGTCGAGACCATGGTTTTCCTATTAGAGTTGTCGTACCCGGTATCGTTGGGGCTCGCAATGTGAAATGGCTAGGTAACTTTTTTCATTATTAAAATTTACCTTGTTTTAAAACTTGTCGTTTGTGTTTTTAAGGAAGGATAATTTTAAGTAAAGAAGAAAGCGAGAGCCATTGGCAGCGAAATGATTACAAAGGGTTTTCACCAAGTACAGACTGGGACACTGTTGATTTTACTAAATCCCCGGCTATCCAAGAGCTTCCTGTTGTATCTGCAATATGCATTCCAAAAAATGGAGAAAGTGTGAAAGTCGATAACAACTCAATTGTTGTAAAAGGTTATGCCTGGTCTGGCGGAGGGAGAAAAATAGTCCGTGTCGATCTCACCATCGACTCAGGCAAAACATGGCATGTGGCCAATTTCGAAGGTCAAGACAATGCCAGGCATCCATATCACTGGGGATGGACACTTTGGACAGCAACGATACCTGTCGACAATTCATCACAGAATGTAGGCTTTGATTTTTAAACATTAGACATTTTGCAGTCTGGTCGTTTCCAATCATCCTGGTCTGCCTATCAACAAACCCATCACTTAAGTGGGCATCAGCAAATATAAGCAGACCAGTATGATAGGAAACAGTTCATCACCCTGCAGACATCAAAGATAAATCTGAGATGATACACGTTTGTTTATTTTTTAATGTATACTGTTTGATATTGACCATTTTTAGGTTGAAATTTGGGCCAAAGCTGTCGATTCGAATTACAATACGCAGCCGGAAAGTTTTGCAAATACTTGGAACTTAAGAGGCGTTTTAGGCAATGCTTATCACAGAATTAAAATTAAGTTAATTAATAATTGTCAATAATGTAAAAATGTACATTACAATGGTAATGCAGGTAACCACCGTTTAAAAAGGTTGTTAGGTTTCTAAAAACTGCTTTTGTATAACTAATTAGAATTGAACAAAAAGAATGTTTGATCCTTAACATGTATCATGAAAAAAGTAAAATAAAATAGATAAATATTTTCATTAAAGTATTTTTAATGCATATTTATAAACCAATTAAAGTTGGTTATTTTGTTGTTGATGGATTTTCATCCTCATAACCTTTTTCAGATTTATATTGAGTTCTAAACTCTTAATTTTTGCATTGTCAAAACTGTTTAAAACTGATTGCTTTAAAATTTATATGATAAGATGTATTTATAAATTTAAATTAACTTTGTTTTAATTGTTTTTATTACAAAGGTTGTTTCTTTTAAAGATCTTGTAGGTTATTTTGTTAAGAACAGTTACAACCAGTTGCTGTTTTATAAATTGTATATATTTCGAAGTAGCCCTGCTTCCTCTTCAGCGCACAAAATTTTTTACAATAATTCAGGTGTGCCTATCAAAGCATGATGATTATAAAATGTGTAGTTTAACACAATTATTTATTAACAATTTATGAAAAGACGACTGGTTGTAACTGTTCTTAAGGAAAAAGTAACCTACACGATCTATAAATTCACTATAATATATTCTCCTTGTTTTTAAATACATTTTTATTAATTTGGTTGTATGGTGCTAAACAATTGTGATATTCTCTCTTAAATTTCATGAATCTTTCAGTGAATCTTTGTTCATGAAATATAACTAAATGCCTGGTGATAATTTACACGAGTAAATTGTAAATAAGATAGTTTTTGTCCAAAGCCTTATGGCCCCGTAATCCAGGGGTAAAACGTGCAATACCCAAGTTAAAATGTTCTGTGTTTTAATGGAATTTACTTAATGATTTTATGTATTTTGGGGAATTTGCATGTTACACAATTAGAAAGAGAAACTCATGGAAATATGTTATACGATAGCTACCTGTATATAATACTATATTCCTTATTTTTGTACCTAACTTAATTTATTTAAAAGAAAAGGTTATGAAAGAATTTTCTATCTAAATTTTAAAGTTGAAAACTGTGATTATTTTTGTTCAAATTTTATAATATATTTTATACATTTAAAAGGAATTATAAGTGTTAAGGCAATCGTACAGATCTACTTAAATGAGCCAAAAGTGATCATCACATCACTCAAGTATTAACTATTTATTAATTAATTTTTCAAATATTGTTAAAGCTCAAACTTATTTTAGAAGTAGAAAATGTACAAATGTACTCATGTGCTGGTAAATTTATTTCCATGTTTGAAAAATATTTTTCAACTGTTGAATTGATATATTCACTCCATAAAAAATTTTATTTCTTTTTTATTCGCCGTCATGCCAAAACAAAAATTTTCTAAACAATATCCATTTTTTAAGAATATAATTAAGATTTTGGCATGATGAATTAGTTTGTTGCGTCTTAGTTTAAATAAATTGAATCTCCCTTTTTGAATAACAAAAATAGAAATCAATTTTACCAGTTTGTTATCTAGATATTTAGTTTTCAGAAAATCCTTTTTTCATAAAGATTATTGTAAGCAACCCTTTTCTTATTCTCAGTGGAATTGGGTCTACAGAGGTAATCATTAGTCACTGCCTAAAATGTACATCTACTTTCGACGACAACGCTTTGGGAGATTGTGTAATTGTGTTGTCATCAAAAGTAAACATATAAATGCTATTTATTCACTGACTAATTATTATCTCTGTGTTTATTAATTAACATTACATCTTAGCCCTGAGGAACACCAAATGTAGGCCGAAAGCATGACAATTGTTCAATTTCTCTCAGCTGATTGACCACAACCATGATTGATCTTGCCTGACTATGAAATTCTTCTCAAGATTAAAAATAAATACTTTGAAAACATATAAAATAGTATTAGAAAGGATGACATTTTTATTTATTTGTATGCAACTTTAAAATGTGGCATTTATTGTGTAATTCTTGCTGAAAATATGCAAAGTAGGTAAAAAGATTACAGTTTCAATCGTAAATGTATTTTATGTTTTTCAAACATGGAAATATAAGACAACTAATTCTTTTAGGTTTACTGTTAGAAACTCTTGCTGTAATTAATTTAGAGAAATAATTATTTTTGGTTTGTTTTTGGTTAATTTCTAAGAAAAAGCCTAATTATTTTGTTTGTGGAAATCGCTGGAAAAAATTTATTAGTTTTTGAAAAATCAAAAAGTCAAAGGAAAGTCAATTGTTATCTTATAAATTATAGTATTGATGTTGAACTTAAAAATTGTATTAAAATGTTATGTCTTCCTTCTTTTTTTTCTTTTTTTTCCCCAGAAAACCCCAGAACAGGGAATGAAATAATGATGAAAAAATGGTCAATGGATCTAAAATAAAACAAGGAGTCTCTAAAATTAAATCTAATCTAAAATTAAAGGAACAAATCCAAAGCAAAACCTGTGGTATAAATCTACTCGATATTTTTCATATGTAATTGAACTTAGTGATCAGAAAACACTCATATAGGGACTTAAAGGTACACAGATATTGTATATTATTCTCCGACAGCCAGGGTCAAACTGTTAGCTCCAAATTGGTCAGGAAGTACAGTCCATGTTGAAAAATAAAAGGTAGTCCTAAAGTGGGTACTAGGGTTAGCACAATAAATTTCAAGAGAAAGTCATACTCACAATGACCATTAAAAATTGAATTAAAACGCAGTCTAAAATAACCGAGGTGACAAAAAACACCAGGATTCCAACAAACAAAAACAAAATTAACACCATAATAAACAAAGACGAGCAAAATGTTAGCAAACAAATCTTGCCAAAATCTTTGCTAAGGAGGACAAAAAAATAAGAACCAATGATATGTGTCAACATCAATGTCAACTGCAGGAGTTTTTGAAAATAAAAAACACACTCCCACAAGCGGCATTTATCGGATCTATAAGGATACAAGGAGCTACAGGGGCGTGGGAACTGCGTCTATATGTGGCCCTAGCAAATTTCTTTTCTCTCTGCATCATTTCTGTAGCAACTATAGCGCTGAGCTACTAGCAATACAGAAGTCCCTAAATTTCATATGTTCCGATACAATAGTAGCTACACGATTTGTTCTGATTCAGAATCGGCCTAACATGCCTTGGAACACCCCTATTCAGATGATCCCAGTGTGCAGGAGGTACTGGCGTCACTGGGGAGCCTCCAACTGCAGGGAATTTATTTTATTTCGTCTGGATTCCTGGACATGTAAATATTAAAGGAAACCATTTGGTAGATGAAGCTACAAAAGAAGCAGCCGTTACAGGCCTTCAAATTAGGGACGTCCCAAAGGGTGATATGACTGTAGTTTACAAGTCAAAAGATAAGGGTCAATGGACTAATATATCTGAAAACAAACTATGGGAAATAAAGGACTCTGTAGATGCATAGCCTACTTCATTCAGAAATATTAGAAGGGAAGAAGTGGTCCTTGCACGGTTGAGGATCGGACACTGCAGAGCCACTACGGGTCATTTGATGGGGCGAGAGGCACCTCCAATTTGCGGAATGTGCAATAGATTGTCACGATCAAACACATCTTCTCTTTTTCACTTTTTTGGGCTTATAAAATATATTAAAAGGAAGAAGGAGGGAAGGAAAAGGGGGGAAATAAGTAAATAAATGGATAAATAAATAAGTAAATATACTAGATCACGATAATAAATAATAATAATAATAATAGATATATAATAAAGATTAATAAATATAGATAGATAAATTTAAAAAAAATAAATAAACGAAAAAATTACACTATGGCGCATTTTATACTTTTCTCTATGTACATAAATAGCAAAATTATATTTTTGAGAAATATATTGTTAAATAACGAGCATTAAAAGTATAAAAATGCATAAATTTGTAATTAATAAAATAAAATACCAATTGTTGATTTTTCTGGTGAAGGTTACACAATTGTTGTTGTTTGGTGCAGCCTTTTAAACTTTAGAATGTACTAATCAATATTCAAAGCATAATTATTTAAAAACGGCTTATTCTTCGTTTTAGTTGAAATGTTCTCTTTCTTTAGAGAAACAAAATTTTCACACTTTTGAGATATTTATTGTAAAAACTTTTATAACGTGAATGGTTTTCTACTAGAGGTTACACAATTGTTGTTGTTATATCCCATGTTGTAGTTTTGAACCTTTTCTACATCTACAACGGTAGTTGTTCTGGAACAACAACAATGATACCAAGGATACTATTTCGTCCCCTTGCTAATTTGTGTAATCTGGTAAAATGCCAGCCGCAGCTTATAAGCAGTAAGTCTTAAACTGACTTTACAGTGAAAGTTCTAAGGTGAATTTGTCTATTTTCAGGAGCTGCCAGGCCTCTGAGTAGTCTCCCTTCTTCCTTTTCTTTCCCACAGAAGATAGACCAGGTAGAACTACCCACAAAAGAGGAAGAATTAGCAATTACAAGGGGTGAGATTTTCAACATATATCTGCAGTATTTTTTAATATTTGTATTACGTAGGAGTTGATTCAAGTTTTCTACCTCTTTGCGTATTTTTTGTTTTGTTTTTTAAGAAACAATTGACAAAGTCAACAAGCACATAGAGAATGGAGAACAAGGAAGATTATTTGCAGTTGTACATATATGCGGCAAACAGTTCAAAGTGACAGATGAGGATTTGATAATTATTGAAGGCTACTGGCCACCACAAAATGCTGACGAGATTAAATTAGAAAAAGTACATAGTATAAACTATATTTTAAGTCACAACTTTATATCCTTTTTTTATAAAAGCTAAATTTTAGTATTAAATAGTCTATAAAACATTATTAATCCATTTTTAGGTGCTACTGGTTGGTGGTTTAAATTTTACTTTAGTCGGAAGACCTATTTTACCACCAGATCTGGTTTCGGTGACTGCCACAGTTATTGAAAAAGATCTTTCACATACAAAAACATTTTTTTACAAGAGACGCAGAAAACAATATATGAGGACACATTGTACGTAAAATTTTAGAAAGAAAATTTGTCAAACTAAAAGATATTTTCTGTTTATTTTAGTTTTCCGGTCCCAGTTAACTGTTCTCAGGATAAAAGAAGTCTCTATCTCAGGGACGATTAACAAAACCGAAGATGTTGTACAGTACGAGAGGATTTAGTTGCAATACAAATTAGTGTTTGTAAATAATTTTGCGTTTTAATCATTTAAAAAAATTTACAAATCTGGTCAATTTGTCTCATGAACATAGTTTCATAGCCAAGATTTTTTAATAAAGATTTGTTAATGTTGATACTAATTGTTTTTTTGGCTGCTTTCAACCTTGAATGATTAGTTTTCACCTTGTACAAATTAATATAAAATTTTCTACACTGATGGTCAAATTTAACTCTATTTACTTTAAAGTTAAATCCATTTTCTTTTGACATTACTTCCAGGTAATTAGGAGCTATTGTAAAAATAAACTTATGATTTTTCCTTCTTGAAGGTGGGATAATAGATCATCTCAAAAAAACCACAACCAGTTTTTATCCACGTTTTGGATTTAGTTTAATCCTTCTTCAGGTGAGTTAATGCAATGGTTAAAACAGTCGTCAGTCATTAATATTTTGTAACAGTTTATTTTAAAAAAGAGCCAGTGTGGTACATATTTAAGTCTTTTTTTAACTCACCTGAGGAAGGATTAAAATAAATCTGAAATGTGGATAAAAATTAGTTTTGGTTTTTTTGAGATGACCTATTATCCCACCTTCAAGAAGAAAAAATCATAAGTTAAACTTTGAGGTCGAAATATAAGAAAACATCGTAAAAATAAACAGTGAATAATGCTTTTACTTCCTTTGCTTTTTTTTCCTTCTTGATTTCATTTTATTTTATATTATATTTATTCTTAAACCTTTTTCAATGACTCCAGCCAGGCATTTGCATGTGTTAATGTCAGGGTCTTAACATTATTAGAAGAATGATACGCCACCGCGAAGTCGCCAAAACACTAAGTGTAAATCACTTTACTAAATAGAGGAAACCAGGACAGGGTCGACCTAGGTCTAGATGAGAGAGAGACGATACATTCATCCCGTCATCACGCTACGAAATGGCAGCTTACAGGAAATGAGATAAATCTGATAAGCAAGTCTGAAATGATTTTTGATTTCCTACAGGATGACCGTAAGAAAAAGGCTCAATAAAAAGACCTCAGGGCCTGGCACCCGGCTCGGAGATCTCTTTCAACAGGTTAGAAAATGGCCAGGCTTCAATTCGCACTGGAATATGTGAATTGGACTTTATAGGTGAGATGGGTATTGGCCTCAAATCTTCGGAAGGCTGTAATTTCATATGGAGACGTTCTGGAGAATGGTACGTTTTTAGTTTTCTATGCTGCATAGTTCCTCAGGTGGCATTCTACATCGGTCTTAGATGGCTTTTCCTTGCACACCAAATTAGTTGTGCGAGGAAGATTTCTAAATTCACAAAGTAATTTACATTACATATGCCCCACATCGGTGAGATATTCAGGATAATGCCAGGCCCCTTAGAGCACATAACATGGATGACTACATGAATGACATCGGAATTGGGTGGCCAGCTTGAAGTCCGTACTTGAATCCAATCGAACACATGGGACCAACTTAAGTGATGAGTACGATAGCGAAACCCAGGTCCTAACACCTTAAAAGAGTTGGCAAGCAATGGCTGCTCTTGATCTTTTCCAAATAATGGAAAGGCATTTAACGAATCGTGCCAGTGCTCATAAAACTAGCGTTTTCATCTCAACCAAGATTTTAGATAAAAAAATAATTAAATGAATTAATTTTTTATTCTCCTGATGAAAAGTTTTCAAATTTTTTCGACATCATTTACTGACACTTCATATTTTTTGGACAGCCATAACCATTTTTTTTCTTGGTGCAATTTTTATATTTGGAAGTCTGGTAATAACAGTCAAAATAAGAATAATCATTTGAGAGGTTTAGGCCATGTCCGTCAAAATGTCCGCTCTACAAAATTTAGAGAAACATTGTTTAAAAATTGTCACGTATCTCCCATTTGAAGTGGGAATCAAAAGTTCAGCGATTTTGTTTTAAAAGCTTGTCTACAGGTGTGAATTTGTCTCTTGATTGTCTAGACAGGAAAATCGCTTGAGTGTATGAGTGTGTAACAAGGACTATCAATACTGAATGAGCAGTCAGGTTGTATAGAATAGGTAAGAGCGCCAGCATATATGACTGCCCAGCTCAGGATTAATAAGGTTAATAACAATGCAACTTACTATTTAAATAATTAAAATGTTTCCTCCTTTTATTTAATTACCATTAACCAACTAATTGATAAGTAAAACTTTTGTTTGTTTAAATAATTACAATGTCTCAACACTTATGGGAAGCGTCAAGTTGAAATAATATAGACTATCAATTTTTTTCTGAGGTTTTTGAAAATGAAATAACATTTTTTAAATAGACAATCTGATTGTAACATAAAACAAATCAACATATCTTGCTTAATAATCTTGCTCAATTGATATCTTAATTTATAAACAATTTTTCACCTAATTAACATTTGACAGGTGGCAATATATTTAAAAAAAAAAGATTTAAAATAAAAATTCATGGCTTCATCTGGAAAAAATATAAATAACATCAAATAAAATAATTTTATCTCGTAAAAATATTTTTTTCTCTCTCCAAATTTTCTAACAACGACTAGATAATTATTACAATAGATAGCTGAAACTAAAATATATCAATTTTCAATAGAGATATAAATCATGTCTTTATGTGTGTATATATATACACACACATATATATACTTCAAAATTTAAATAATATTTATCTTCTCTGCTATATTAAAAAGACTATCAGTTCACAATATTGCAAGTTTTCTTCAATGACTATAATTTTACAACCATTGCCCAAACTTAAAAAATAAAATAATAAAAAATAAAAACGAAAAGTGTATCAACCCAAAAAAACCCACATATGAAATTTAAAAAAAAAAGAACAAAAAAAGAGGAAAATGTGTGAATGAGACTACTGTAACTTAACAAATTGCACCATATTTCCATTTGAAACTACAGCTTTATATATAGCGCCATTCTGTATGTTTGATATTGTAACACGTTTCACAAGTCTCAGATGGTCTAGCCTGTTCAGTACGACCGTTTTGCTAGGGCTGATCTCTTTTTTAGGCAACGGCCTACTATTTTTGTTTACATCTGACACGGATGTAGTGATACGATTCGAAGAAAATCTGAATGAGGAGGCGGGTGCTTTGATGAATGTGACACAAGGTCTCTGAACTTTTTGAGACCTCGTCATACTTTCGATTAAAGGAGTTACGGTAATTTTTTCCTCTTCTGGTCTTTCTTCTTGGAGAGGGAAAAGAAGTCGCTTTTTAGCTGGCGGGCCCAGACAATCGAAACCACTTTTGGCATCAGAAGATTCTTTCACAGTCGGGAATTTGCTCAAACCAACTCCATCAGAACTTGATTCTGCAAATTTCAATTTACATTAATATTTATTTTTCAATTTAATACGTTAATTTCGTTACCTGAATTTGTATCACCAAATGAATCCCAGTTATGTATTGAATATTCATTAAAAACTTTATCTAGTAAATTTAATTCATATCATTATACTTTATTGTAAAAAATTATTATATTTCTGGTTAATACAAAAAGTTGGATTTAGTCTTACCAGGTTCGAAATGATCAGTTGCTTCTATTCTCGGACCGCAATACATAAACGCTGGTTTCTTGAATTCATGATTACTGCATTTTTTAACAATACCAAGGGCTTCTAGAACATTTGCCACATCATACAACCTTCTCATACCAGTTTTATCTTGTATATCCTTCGTAAGAACCAGCTTTGAAATTACATTTAAGTTGAGAGGCCAATTCTATGAAGTACAAGAGGAAAAAATTACTTTAGATTTTTTTTTTTAATAAAGGATAAAATATGCTACCTCTTCATTAACTAGGAAAAGCATTATGAACTTTTGACATAAAACCCCTATTCGGTTCTCTTCGAACACGGTTTGATTTCCTGTTGTTATTTTGAGTGCACCATTCACTACAGGTTCTTTTTCTGAAAATGCAACTATCGACTGCTGTTGGTGATTCTTGATAAAATCTCTGACCTGATTAAAAGAAAATGTATTAAAGAATTGTTTAAAGTTTGTTATGTTTTAGAGTTACCTGTTCATCGAATTTGTTCAATAACGCAAAAGCTTTCAGCTGTGAAAGTAATCCTGGAAGTTTCTGATTGCCGTACCAGTAGTATTTATCTTTGCAAACCTGATATGGTTAAAAAAGTAGAATTTTTGATATTTCAACATTGAAATTGATTAAAAATCTATGTCCATAGTCTTCAATAAGTACTTTGAGATTTTTGTAGTTAATTTATTTTCTTATTAGTGACAACATTTTTTAATAATACAGTAGTTCAAAAGAAAGTTATGTTTGTTTAAGGATGGGAGTATTTCCCCCATCCCTTACTACACATAGGGGTGCATTATTGTATTACAGCAGTTAACTATAGAAATTCAACTAATCCAGATATTTTAAAGTCATTGAAGCCTAAAAATATTATAGAGGCCAACAAAAAATAGAATCATTAGTGATAAAGGCTTCCTTTTCTTTGACAATTTATGCCTTAATCTAGATAGGGCAGGTCAAAAGGGCTACCCTGATCACTTTGGAATGGTGAAGGGAGTTACATCATGCTTAAAATGTCAGTTGTAAGGAAATGGCTCCTTCCTTTTTTTTCTCTCATTCATGAAAATTTGTTCCCACTGAACGCAGGAAATGCAAAGTGTAATATGGAAATTGGACACGGGTCAAGGTTTAAGGGGAGGAAACGGATAATTAACCTGATAATACCTTAACTGCCATCAGAAGGCTCGAGACCACATTAATTATGTCATAGACCCGTCTTTTCTCAATTCCCAGTTCAGTCGCCAAAGAGCCTAATGATATCTGTTGAAAATGGCCAGTGGGTTGTTCTAGTTTATATGTTGAAAGAAACCTACAAACAAATTAAGAAACAATGTTTAAATATTATTTCCACAGTGCAAACATTAAACATAATAAATCAATTGAAATTTGACGTAACTTTCAACCCCTAAAAAATACCTAAACACCTTATACACATACACGATTTATTTGGACGACCAATCCTTTCTAATTGTTTCCAATGCTTAAGAATATCATCAAAACTCACAAGGTTTTTGGTGTTTTCTTCATCCGATGATCATTTACCTGATCCTCATTCAAATTTTATTGTTATATTAATACTTATTTTCATGTAACCCAAATTAAACGAGAACAGAAATTCATGAGTTAAAAAAAATTATGAGGGTTTGAAAGAAAATTCACCAAAACACCAGAAAATCATTTGGTGATACATTAAAATTTAACTAAAAATTTCCAAAAGTTAAAATGTGTAGTTGTAATTAATACAGCGATACAAATGCATATAGTTTGAAATAAACAACAAAATACAAGTGTTTTTTTTTTCTTCAAGTATATACCAGTAATAACTTGAAATGTAAACGTATGGAACATGAGGAGAAAGTAAGTAAAAGGGCATACTAGAGTGAGAAAATTTGTACATGGATGACCAATCTTTCCAATACTTCGAGAACGATAAATAAATACATTTTTAAAGGAAAACTCCAATAGAAAAAAAATTATAAACTAGTAATTTTAATACACTAAGGATTTTATTATTTATGTGAATGTGATAATTTTGAAACATAAGTAAAAGGGCATACTAGAGAGAGAAAAATTGTATATGGATGACCAATCCTTTCTGATATATCTAAAACAATTAATAGGGGCATCAGTAGCTGCAACGGTTTAGGCGTTGACACAGCGCTCATTACTGTAAGGTAAAGGTCCCGGGTTCGAATCCAGAGCCCTGCATTCGAACCCAACATACTTACAAATTGGCTTTTTTTTTTCAAAAACACCAGCACCCTGAGGGTTTATATGACATCTGCTGTTGCGAACCCTCGTTAAAAAAAAAAATAAATAAATAAATAAAGCAAAAATCCAATAGATAAAAAATAAACTAGTAACTTTAATACATTAAAGATTTTATTATTTACGTAAATATGAGAATTTTGAAACAACCTGAAATATATGGAACATGTGAAAATAAGCAGAATAAATCAATTCCCTTCTCTAGGGTGTAGGTATTCGAGTTAGGAAAATATACATATAAGTCTACCAATAAAACTAAACAATAAATAAATATATATGTAACATAATTTATTTACCGCTTAATATACAAACGCTAATGCATCGTTATATATTTTAATAATATATAATATACATTATTATATTAAATANATATTATATATAATATATTATACAAATTAAAAACAAATTAAAAAATTAAAAACAAAAAATAGTACTTACTTTTTGCACATATAGCTGAGAGACCTGAATCGCCTCGAGGTTTTAAAAAATTCTACCTTTTGTTCATCACAATTATTATTATTATTATTACTGTTAGTAGGGTTGTCTGGCAGTTTGGACGGGTCTTCTTCGTTGAAATGCCCTGTGGCCACTTTGGTCAAGAGTTTCAAATTGGCCATCGGCGAAATGGGTGAATTTCCGTTTGTGCTAAGATCGCCCAGAACGACCCTTTTCGGCGGGCTTGCGAATTCCATGGCACCAGGGATCGGTTTGCGCGTTAACCTCGTTTATTAATAAAACACCGACGGGACGGATTCGATTAGCAAAAAGGAAGCGACGATTCAGCGCGGACTCAGCAATTCTCGGCCTGGGATGGGCGATAAACGCGGTTTTCCCTCTACAATTACTAAACGGACTATCTCCTATCGCGATACGGGCTCTTCCCAACTAAACTGACAACTTTTCACCCGATGATGGATTCAGCTAAGGGTGAAGGGCGGCCACCCTCCGACTAATGACCGGCAACCCGATTGATGAAGTGCCAGTGTAGTCACCGGTTACTGTAGACGTTGTTTTGATTTTGGAGGGGAAAGACCAGAGACGGGCGGCTGGGCGCTGGCTGGTGGCTGGTCGCCGGTTAGGGACACGTGGTCGTTTGCCGAGAAAAGGCGCCAGAGCGCGGTAGCCCTATCCACTTTAGTTTCAAAAGGCGAAGGCAACCAACCGTCTTTTTTTTATATAGGCATAGGGAACGCAACCAAGGGTCATGACTCATGATTGGTCCCAATGACTATCTCATATCTCAAAGGTACAAATAGGCATAAAGGTTAGACCCACCCACGAGGACGGCCGATCGAGTATATTTATCTCTATATATTTATCTTTATTCTACATCTATATATATTATTATTATTTATTATCTTTATTATTATCATATCTAATTATTATTATCTTTATTCTATATCTATTTATCTTTATCTATCTGATCTAGTAGTAGTAGCAGTAGTAAAAGGCGAAAGATTTATTCCTTATGAAGGGAGACCACAGTAGTCTGATCTAGTATATTTACTTCTTTTATTCATTTATCCATTTATTTATTTTCCACTTTTCCTTACCTCCTTCTTCGTTTTATTAGCCCAAAAGAGTGAAAAAGAGAAGGACAAACAGTCAGAAGCTCATATTTTGTCGAGTAGATTTGCTGATTTGAGAAAATAAAACAAATTACATATACTATCGTGTTTGTCGCCAAGCATTTCTTGGATGCTTATAGGCATGGAGTGCAGAAGTCTATGGGCTGTATATAATGTGCATGATGTAAGTATATGTTTGATTATGACGATCTGATTGCACATTCCGCAAATTGGAGGTGCCTCTCGCCCCATCCAATGACCCTTAGTGGTTCAACCGTGCAAGGACCACTTCTTCCCTTCTACTATTTCTGAATGAAGTAGGCCATGCATCTACAGAGTCCTTTATTTCCCATAGTTTGTTTTCAGATATATTAGTCCAGACCTGTTTCCATTGACCCTTATCTTTTGATTTGTAAACTACAGTCATATCACCCTTTGGGATGTCCCTGATTTAAAGGCCTCTAATGGCTGCATCTTTTACAGCTTCATCTGCCAAATGGTTTCCTTTAATATTTACATGTCCAGGAACCCAGACAAAATAAACGCGACAAAATAAAATAAATTCCCTGCAGTTGGAGGCTCCCCAGTGACGCCAGTACCTCCTGCACACTGAGATCATCTGAATAGGGGTGTTCCAAGGCATGTAAGGCCGATTCTGAATCAGAACAAATCACGTAGCTACTATTGTAATCGGAACATATGAAATTTAGAGACTTCCGTATTGCTAGTAGCTCAGCGCTGTAGTTGCTACAGAAATGATGCAGAGAGAAAAGAAATTTGTTAGGGCCACATAGACGCAGTTCCCATGCCCTTGGAGCTCCTTGATCCGATAAATGCCGCTTGTGGGAGTGCATTTTTTATTTTCAAAAACTCCTGCTGGTATACATTAAGAGATGTAAGGGCTTTGCAATATTTTCCAAGTGAATACAAAATTTTCGGTTTGGGAAATGTCCAGGGAGCCACTGATTCTTTTTCTACTGGAGGTATGGGTATTTGTAATTCGTGCAAGAGAGTGTGTCTATATGGAGCGGGAAGGTTTTTTGTACAGAATCACGTGATGAGCTGTCAGATATCAGACTAGTCCCTGGGAATAGACAATTTAGTGGGTGTGACTTAGAGGAAGTGAATTTAGGAAAAAACTTCAAATCAAGAAAGTCACGTTTGAAACTTAAAGGCTTTTCTCCAACATCTGCATGAAGGCTGTATGAGGAACTGCTCCGGGAAGCACCTGTGATCAGGCTAAGTCCCATATTCTGTATTGTGTCAAGCAGGCTGATTGTATTTTTAGTAGCAGAATTGTATGCATTGCATCCATAGTCCAGTTGTGTTCTTATTAAATTAAAATTTGTTAAATTTTTGAAAATTAATGTGAATTTTTAGTTTTTGCAGCAGTACCATATAAGATTTATAAAAATATACTAAATTAAACAAATCTGAGAAATTTTTTACTCTGAAGATGATAGAGCATGAGGGATTTTAACACGCTGGAATGGTACAAGTTGACCTGGGAAAGAGATGGGTTTGATTTATAATCTTGGCTTACTGACTTTTCCTAGATATATCACACACCTTATAAGTGCAGTCAGGCAGATTTTATGTCCAGGTACTAGAAATTCAATCATCCTTAAAGAGAATTAAAGCAGGTGGCCCCCAGGCTCTGTGCTGAGTCCAGCACTATTTAACATCTTTATAAACTGCAATTAAAGCAGGCATCAAATTTTCTTCAGACTTAGCAGTTTTTGTAGATGCTGTGTCTGTACAGGCCTTTTACCCAATTCATATTTAAAGAACAAACAATATCTGTAGAAAAATTAAGTAGTAAATTAATAGTAAAGTAGTAAATTAAGCCAAATAGCAGCTAATTTGAAGTTATTTTGTTTTCTAGGCATAGACCCATACTAGTTAATAATGTGAGGATTTAACAAGGTCATACCATGGTCAACAGTGGTTAAATACCTTGGTGTCCAGTTAGTCAATAAACTGAATTTTGGCTTCTATTTCAAGATATAATGTGAACTGCTCAAGCAGCAATTTACAACCTTTTTCCCATAATCACCAATGCACATCTTGTATGGTCAAATACATGCGTCTAATTATAATAAGTTTCAAGTTATCCAAAATAATGCTTTAAAAAATGTAGGCATTAAATATAGCCACTATTTTAACATATAAACATAACAATTTAACGAAGAATTTTGCGCATTTCTGCTCAATTACTCCTTTTGTGTACAGTAATAATATATTTAATTACCAAAGAAATCACCTCCAAGTGCAATCAAAGGCATTTTGAATATCAAGAAATACCGCCAGTAACTTATTTTTCTTTAGAAACGATTTACATATAGAGTGTTCAAATTGTATACGATTGTCCCTTGTTCCTCTATTTTTCCTGAATCCACTTTGCCATGATGGTAATAGCTCTTTATTCTCCAATACAGCCTGTTTGTTATAAGTTTTTCCATTAACTTGCACATGGAGCAAGTTAAGGATATAGGGCGATAGCTTTTAACTTCGTGTGCTGGCTTATCTGCTGTTAGTAGTGGTATGGTAATTGCCATTTTCCAATCCAGGGGATATACTGCTCTCTTATTCTTCTCCAAACCCTTGCTCAGACCCCAGAAGACCTCAAACAAAGCCTTTAGGGATAGATTTGAAACTTTTGAAGAAGAGGACATTGCCAAATCACTCCCCAAGATAAAATGGTCCAAAATCTTGGTGTTTGTGAACAGGTCCAAGAGGTTTATGCAGGACTCGTGAGCCGACCAAGTCCCGGACCTTTTAGGGATGGGGTACGAGTCTACCTAGGCATTTAACCCCTCGGGTCTTGGTCTCCCACCCTGCGTAATATAGAATATAAAAACAAAACCTTGACTCAGCTGAAAACAAGATTTTAATCCACTCTTGCTCAGACCAACTGATGTGATTTCTTGCAAAAATTAACTGTTCTGTGCCTTGTTAGAAGTTCTGCACCAGTGACAGGCCTTCTCGCTTCTACTCGTTTTTGAAAGTCTTCACCTTACATTGTGTAAACTGATATGAACATTTCTAACTTGTTAGTCATAGGTTGATCTCAATAGTCAATGTTGATTATAGAACGAAACAATAAAACTGTCAACTCTCAGATGCAATAGGGTGGTGACCTGATATGTCCTTCTTGAGTAACTTTCACTATATTGGTAGCGATGGAAGACCATTGGACAGTTGTTCTGGGACTGTTAGTACCCTGGCCACATACGATTGACTTCTTCCATCTTCAAAGAATGCTATGATTCTAGCCAAATCTGTATTCCTTAAAACCATCAATAAAATAAATTTGAAACTTAAAAATAGTACAACTTAAAAATCAAACTACTGGAACATTATAAAGAAGAATGATTTATTTACAAAATCCAATTGTAAACTCAAGAGGGAGATTTTATCTGTGTTTTATTTACCTATAATAATTTAAAATGGACCAAATATTGTTGTAAGAAAATCAACGGAGGATTGTCTAAGGGATAATTACAAATATTAAGTATGATAGATGCAAAAGGTGTGAAATTATTGAGTACTTCATGACTCTAACTGAAAATGGTATATAAATAGGAAAGCATATAAATACTTAAGAGTGAGTGAGAGTGAATGGATTTGAATTTAGGAAATTATCGTGTTGGGTGCTGAAATGACCTAGCTGTTGACGGCACCCAGGGGCCCAACCTCGGTGGTTGGATGGATAAGAATGAGGGCTGACCCTGCACTGTCAAGACCCAAGGTTTGCGATTCTCGAAGCCTGCCTAATTCATTGTAAAGTACAAAAGCAGGAATGGGCTGCATGAAGTGATAGGCTCAACTCTGTACACATGTATTTAAACAAACGTACATGTGCAAATTTGAGTTTGTATAAATCCAAATCCAAAATATAATATACATACATCTTTACTCAAATTGAAAACAATGTGTAGTGTTGCTTAAAAAAATCAAGATTATAAAGGAATGAAATAATTATTAGAACACAAATCTGTACACGTTGTTACTACTTGTAATCAGTAGTAAGACAAAAGTTTACTACAAGTGCCTGCAACAAGTTTAGTTAAAATTTTATCCAATTCTGCATTCTAAAAAACTAAAACTAATGGCCATCTCATCTTCTTCCTTGGAAGGAGACTATATATATATTTAGGCTTGAAGAAGATTGAATTAACAATAAAATTATTAAATACTTAAGGACATGATTCATTTCTAAATTAAAAGCTGTATGTCAAATAGACAGAGCAAAAAAAAAGCTTGGCAAATTACAACAGTAATTAATTGTCGATAGTCACTGAATCCACACATATATATTACAATTATTTTTTCAAATTATATTAAAGGCTGTTAACAGTTTAGGACATATTGACATCAAACTTATTCTTCTTTGTTTTTTTATATGTGACGATGTCAAAGACCAACACAGACAGGGGGAGAGCACCTCCATCCTGGATCCAAACAAAACAAAAGGAGAAGTGGATAAACTCTAGCGGTGCTAGACATAGTAAACTTATGATGAAACAACC